GTTTATAAAGTAAAAAAATTTATAATAAGCTAAGGTTAATTTATTATTGAAGAAAGAAAAAATTTGTTATGAATTTAGTGCAGCCTAAGTGTACATTTATAAAATCCGCAGTAGTGTGCAGTAATGTCCTGGACCTTCACATTCACTCACCACTCACTCGCTGACCCACCCAGAGCAACTTCCAGTCCTGCAAGCTCCATTCATGGTTAGTGCCCTATATAGGCGTACCTTATTTTTTTATTTTTCATATTATTTTTACTGTCCCTTTTCTATGTTTAGATGCACAAATACTTACCATTGTGTTACAGCTGCTTACAGCACTGAGTACAGTAACATGCTATACAGGTGTATAGGTATAGCCTAGGAGCAATAGGCTATACCACAGAGCCTGGGTGTGCAGTAGGCTACGCCACCTGGGTTTTTGTGTAGGCACACTCTGCAATGTTCGCACAATGGTGAAATCGCCTAATGATGCATTTCTCAGAGTGTATCCCTGTCGTTAAGCAACGCGTGACTGTATATGCAGCTTGACTGCAGAAACATATGCACCCATTCACAGAGAAGAATTTAACATTTTTTCATTACAACGTTTAGGTCCAAGGAGCTGTGAAATAAGAAACCGCCGTCTTCTCCATGGGGTAGGGGACAAGTCGCCACCCCAGTGTTCTGCAGATGGAGAGTTTCTGCCTGTCCAGTGCAAATTTGTCAACACCACGGACATGATGATCTTTGATCTGGTCCATAACTACAACAGGTGAGGGGACCCAGGCTGCAAAGCTCACACGTTGAGCTGAGGGCTCGTGTGTGTCATACACACGGCACGATGAAAAATTGGAGCTGCCTCACTCTCATATGTTGCTGCTGGGCATCTGAATTACTGCAGCATTTTTAACAAAGCAAACTGGCTATTGCTATTAAATTAAAAATATGTGCACCCTCTGGCCCAGCCAGCCCATGGAGATGTAAAATACCACAATGTGAAGACATATGTATGCGGGTGTTTACTGCATCGTTTTTCACTATAGTATAAAACTGGGGAACAAAGTGACTGGGAAAAGGTGGATAACTGAATAAATGTGCATTGCCGTAAATATTTATGCAGCCATTAAAAAGAATCCATTAGAGCTAGAACAGTTGACTTGGAGAGGATTCCACAGTATATTATGATAATATGATTCAAGATACAAAGTACAGATAATACAATATAATGTGATTTACTTTTTAAAGAGCAAACAAGAAAAAATATCCTTTACATATGCCTATACAATTATATGATGATGCTGGTGTCTGCACAGGACTAAGTGGGCTCCGAGGCCAACGTGAAGCGGCACATGCTGCGTCGTTATGATGGGCTGCTTCGGGGGTCAGGGCTGTTCTGCAGAAGGAAGAGCGGGCAGAAAGGGGTTGGCAGAAAGGGACAAAAGACAGCGCTCCAGAAGCATTGATGTCATCATATTTATGAAGTTTTGTAAACTGTGTGTATGTGTGCACTTATAAATAACTTTAAAGATTTAAATAACATCTTTAGAAAGGGAGCTGCATTAAAGATCTTGGCCCCAGTAGCTGGATAGCTTCTGGTTATCGAAGATGGCCACTTGATTATTGCAAAGGGCTCGTGCAGACTTCAGATGTAATTGAACCATTCTGAGTAAACAGAAATAAGAATACTAGCCTGCAAATGCTGGTATGAATTCTCTTGGACAACTCGAGCCTCTGTGTGGCTGGCTTCTAAAACCACCAGTTTCTTTTCCCGTGCGAGAGAGGAAATTCTCATGGGCGGTGCCAGGAGGAGTCTCAGACTAGCAGCCTGTACACAGGATCTGTTCCTTAGACAGGTTTTGTTTGAGCTGCGTGATATTTTTTAAACCTAGACCTTTTATTAGGTTATACCCTATGAAACTCCTGTTTTTGTAGATAAAAAATAGTTGGACACGTGCAGTTTTATATGTTCAACTTAAAATACTAAATTCTGAATTTCCGATTTCAAAGAACAAGGGTGGGAGGCTGCGTGCATTCACTCATGGCACCAAGAAAATGGACTTGCTCTGCCCTTTTTGGACCAAGGACACACCCGCCTGTGTTCCAGGTCCCTCTGTGCTCTGTCGTCATACCCTCTGTTGTCATACCCCGTATTACCTGCCCGGTCCTTTAGCACTTACCTTTGTGACCTGCATTCTGCCTCTGCCACTACTTAGCATGGTGGCCTGGCCACTTACTCTCTCAGAGCCTCAGTGTTCCCTGCTAGGAAATGTAGGACAGTGTCCGCTTATTAGGTCACAGTAAATCCAATGAGACCCCATCTGTGAAACCATTGCAAATTGACAAAATTGTAAATTATTATACATCTGTAGGGAATTCTCATATATCACCTAGTTTTGGCAAATGTAGGTTGTAGGTTAGATCCTGCCCCCCCGCCCCAAACCTAGAGAATGGCCTGCCTGTGAACACATATAAATCTCCAACAGCCAGATTCACTGAATGTTCTTTGAAGCAAACAGATGTATTCTCCGTTTGAATTCAGCTGAGTGCTTACCATATACAGGAAATTTTGCATCCTTTTATTTACTTTAATACTTACAGAAACAATTTGATAATTGTAGTCTCTAGTATAAATATGAGGACTCTGAAACACAGAGGTTTAGGAACTCACCCCAGGAAGCATAGTTAGTGGGTGCTAGAGCTGTCTGGATCCTTTTACTAGATCATGCTACTGTGATTCATCTTTGTTGCCAAACAGTGTATAGTACAGAGCTTGCACCCAGTAGGTCTACAATCTGTGCTTACAGAACAGGTGAATGCATCTAAGAACTTTTTGGGTGCCATGTTGAGATTGAGACACAATTCACAGCTACTTCCACCAGAGGGCAGTCGAGTTAAATGCAAAAGTTTAGCACTAAGCATCCATTGTTTAAAACAAACACACAGAAATTTACTCCTGAAATGGGATCCTTTTCTTTTTTGTAAGCAAGCATGTCTCAGAGCAAATTCTGGTTTAGGAAGGTCATGGGAAGGGTGGGATGGTTGGTTACTGGAAGCCCAGCTGTAATCAGGGATTTTCTGATGCTTATGTTGACCTGGATGGTCTCAGGCCCAGTGACTCCTCTGGGCAAAGTGGACGGAGCCACGTGAAGAGTCTAAGCTTAGCACCTAGGGTTGCAAGGTAAAATACGGGACAGCCAGTTACATTTGAATTTCAGATAATCAAAGAGTAATTGTTTAGTGTAGGTAATTCCCCAATATTGCACCAAGCATTTTAAGTCTGGAAGGCGGGTAAGGTATGTCCTAATCGCCCTCAGACTTGGATTTCAGAAAGAATGGAGTGGGGTGGGGGAGGAGCAGAGTGGGTGGGTACTGGGAGGCTAGTCCAGGTGGGAGACAGTGATGTGCAGTAGGTGACGGAGAGGAGGGCTGACAGGTGGGAGAATTATTTACCAGATGGAACCCACAGAGCTTGGCGAAGCAATAAATATGGAGGGTGAGAGCAGGGGAGAGTCAAGGATGACTCCCAGGTCAGTTTTAGATGGATGGTCGAGGATGAGTTTGGAAAGGAAAAATGACAGGGTTGGTTTTGGAATGTTGAATCTGAGGGTGTTTCTTTGGGACACTGAAATGGGGAAGTGGCCTGTTGACTTATTTCCCTGGGGCCATGGGAAGGCTGAAAGCCTGTGGGCAGCTCATTTGCCAACCTGTTGTGAGTTCTTAATGTGCTGGGTGATGATTCGCACCTGAACTTGGCCATAGAGCTTGTGCATTTGAAGTAGGTCCTTTTGCCCTTGAAGAATGCCATTGCTCATGACACCTATTTGGCTGGTGACTTCTAAAGTACCATGTCGTGACAGGGAGTAAGCTTTGCTAGTCCTTTCTGACCCATGCCCCATCTCTCACATTGCCCTGGCCCAGCCGCAGGTTTTGGCCAAGCAGATTACAGGTAAAGCTCTTAGGAGCCTTCAAGCAGGGCTGATGTCATTAACAAGATTTTAGTGGTCTGAGTTAAAATTCAGTTAATTGGCTTCTTTATCAACCCTTGCCCTTAGTGACTAAATTCACTTAAACTTTTTAGCAAACTTCTTACCACAAACCCCTTAGCCACCCATGCTACCCAGACTATCCAGTGGGAAGGATCAGATGCATCTTAATACATGGTGAAGGCGCATTGTAAGTGCAAGATAGAAGGGACTGTATGGGGAAATTGGGTACTATGCTAGGCTACAGCCCCTCCACAAAGGAGTACCTACTCTAGTGCAGGAGAAAATCAAATACATGACTAATTTATTAATCAGTGGTTAGATTTCTGGAGAGACTGCCCATGGAGATGCTAGAGGATCTGACTGAACCCAGACACGTGAATCCTGCTCTGCACGTGAACAAGACCAGATGCCTGGTGGGGACCAGTGCTTCACAGTCTTGTCAGTAACTTCCCGGCCTGTAGGCTGGGTGCAAGCTCAGAAATGCCATCGCCTGTCCCTCCACTGGCATTGTCTTTCTTGAGGACTCTTCTGTGATCACCCTGAGAGTTTGCTTTTTATTCAACAAAAAGCAAGCATCCTTTTCCACTAGACAAAATACATACCATTTTTTATTTTTATTAAATATTGCATTGATTTTGTCTTCTTTCTTTCCTCTGATGTGCCCAGAACAGGATAAAAGTGGAAATTAGAGGAAATCATGAGGAAGGCAAAATAAGGGTAGGAAATAAGAATAAGGCAAGGCCAAGGTAGGTCCACATCAACTGTTCTGTGAAGTTATAACAGATGTGCGAGGCTGCGTGTTTGTCCCTATATGACCAGAGAAAAGAGAAAATAGTCTAAGTTATTTGGTTTCTACCAGATAAAAATAAGCTTGTTTCTCAGGGGAACACAACTTTTTCTTCTATCGAGGATGAAGGAGACTTTGTCCCTCTGGTCCTTATAAAGGGGATAATGCCATGTGCCAGAGGGGCTGCATGACGTGACAATTTCCTACTGCCAACAAGAGAGTCAGTTTCTTAAGTCTGGGGCCTGTGAGAAGCAATGGGCACAGCGTTTTCACGTACTGTATTTCAGTGACTGAGACCTTGGGTCCTGGCATTTTCTAAAGACTTGTACCTCCCTCCGTGACTACCAATCTCTCAGATTTCCCTGTCTCCCACCTTGAAGTTGGAGGCACGTTAACCACCCTTCTAGACACGTTGTCCCTTTCTCCATTTGCTCCTGGTCAAATCGATATTCTTGGCTTTAGAATTGAACTTAAACTCATCCTTTGGGAGCATTCTTTGGCCATACGATAGGTTCCAAACCCAGCTGGCCCAAGTGTAAGGGTGGAGTCAGGGCTGTCCCACTTTCTTCAGGACGTTCTGTTCGCTTTCAGTGGTTTGACTTTCCTTGGTTGACATGGGGTAGCGATCTAATACGGAGAAGATTGACGGCACGGCAGAAACCCTGTGCCCTGGTGACAATAAATCACCAAAGACAACAGCAAAAGTGACAACTAAACAGTATAATGGTGCTACTTGTTATGCTGGAGGAAAAATCCAAAATTCACAGATGGTGAAGTTGTGTCAGAAATTAGCCACAAAAATCAGATTGTAGCAAATTGAATTGTGGGAACACAGGAAATCAAGGGAGATTTAGAGCTTGAACTCACTGTTGACTGCAGGGCCCCCAAAAGAATGGGCTCTGTTGAAGTGGTGGCCTCACCCTCCAGCCCCCGTGTTGTAGAAAGAGCACTGGAAGTGAATTCGGGATACCTGGCTCCTGGTCTTGGCTGGGTGATTTTGACCCAATCATGTCACTGCTCAGAATCTCATTTGTGAAATGGAGATTTTTAAAGCGTTGTTATGAGAATTAAATGACGTAAAATATGGAGAGTGTTGGGAGTAGTGTCTGATCGTTCAATACATACCACCTGTTATTATTTTTGTGAGTAATAATTAATAGTGACATATTAGCTCTTCTCATCACATACAGAATCGGCAAGGAGGGATTAAAGAGGGCAGCACAGGGCATTGGCCCCAGAGGTCAACAGAGGACAGCCCTAAAGAGTTTAGGTGGCAGCACCTGGCCTTAGGGTGGTCTTACCAGGAGTGGGGAGGACCACTCTCTCCAGCTGAAGCCAGGGCCATCTCCAATATGCAGGAAGTGATGAGAGCAAGAGTGAAGTCCATGCAAAAAGTAGATCTGGGTACTGGGCAGTTTATAAGGCCAGAAACCACAAGACAGGGACTCTGACCATAAAGTGGTGGATGGAAATGGCTCAGAGACCCTAGAGTTCATGTCTTCCCTGGGCCAGGACATTGAAGTGGGCTTCTGGGTTCAACTGGCAGAGTATGGGCCTAGAATGATTTCAACTTCTTGTGCCTCACACTGGAATGGGGTTCAGAAGCCAATTGGGGCCAGCACCTGTGTCATTAGCATCTATCAGATGCCAGGAAAAGCTCAGTGCTTGGCATACGAGCCGAGTGTTGGAGCAGAGTCACAGCCCTTGCAGGGCAGGGGGCAGGAACCAGGTGCAGCCAAACACACACTGAATAGCACCACTGGCAGAGATAGGTTTCCGTGGGGGTAAGACCAGGGCTGGAACCTGAGTTCGCACCACTAGTTGAAGATAGTGGCCCACATATGTCACCTTCTTAATTTCTGACACTCCTTTTTTTAGAAGTGTTAAGTGGATTAAATGAGTCAATGTCTATTAAATATCTTGTGGACATTTTTTTACAAAGTAGTGCTCAATAAATGGAGGTGATTATTACACTCTTATCAACACTTTCAGAATTGAATTATCCCAGGTTTCAATGAATGAACTTTTATTATACACCCCCTGTCAGTGGCAACTAGGCAAAGTGAGTTTTTAATTTCTGTTATGCAATTCACTTGCTATAACATTCTTTATTTAATCCCCATATTCACAATAATAGACCAACAATGTGGGAAAAAAAACCCTTATCCATAACCTATAGTGCTTTCATAGATTTTTTTTTGCATATTCATTTCTATTCAAATTAACTAATACTTGTTGCACCCACATGTTCAGGGTCTGAGCAATTACTGCGCCATACATTGTCTTCCAACACCAGCTCATTTACATAGTACTAATTGCAGCATATGCATTCCATTTTATAGTCTACTCTTTTTATATAATGTTATACATGCTCCCTTTTGGCTAGTGTTTAGAAGTATCATCCTCAACTGTAATATTTTATTCCATTTAGGAGATATACTATAATTTACTTCTTAATTTTTCCATCATTGGATATTAAGGTTGTTTTCAATATTTTGCTAGAATAGATTACACAGCAATAGACCTGTCAGTGCAGAGAGCTGCTGTTTCCGCTAACTTATTGTTTGGGGATATGTTTTAAGACGTAGGTAGAAGCATACTATGCTTGGACCTCATGTACAGCTGTATAGGGCATGAAAACAAATCTCTCAGTGTTGTACAAAGATGAAAAATAAATTCCTCTCTGGTTGCTAAATCATCACACAGGAGAAGAACTAAAACATGGCTCTTCATACCTTGGCTTTCTGTTACTTCCAGGATGGGGAACCCAGCTGATGAGCTCCTTACAGTAATTGCCAAGCCAGACATGATCAAGGAATATCTTTCCTCGATTTACAGAAAGGGATGGATAGCCCTTGTTAATGATGTCATATTGATTCATGTTTTTTCAACTATGGAACTGGAAAATTTCCTTCTTACAGATTTCCTATGGTGGGATCTGGCTCCTTTTCAAGCTCTTGAAAAGTTGTAAAGGGCCCTGAAGTCATTTGATCTTCGAAAATGAGATCATCTACAATGTACCATATGTTTGCAAAGCAAACTTGGCCTTTAGTCTCTAGAGCTATATTCCAGCAAAGGAACCAGTTAATGCGATGATCATGACTTGTTTTCTGCCTGTCCCTGTGAGACACATGCGTGGGGATAAACTGGTCAAATGCCATAAGTGAGGCAAACAGCTAATTAGTAGGTGACAGCTAAGCACAGCTTTATTTTATAAGGTCCAGCCTGGTTCCAGCCAGGTAAAACCAATTTAGAAAAGAAATGCATTTGCCAAAGGAGGCATGGTGCAACTGTCAGGAGATAAAAAAGCAGACATTCCTTTTCCCTCGGTGTCGACTTGGCCACATTTATTGCTACAGGAAGAGCTAGTGATGACTTGTCTTTTATGAAATGGTGATCATAAATCTCATTCTCTCTCAGGTTTCCAGATGCATTTGTGACCTTCAGCTCCTTCCGGAGAAGGTTCCCTGAGGTGTCTGGATATTGTTACTGTGCTGACAGCCAAGGGCGGGAACTGGCTGAGACAGGTGAGTGAGCACACCTCAGGCAATCTGAAGGGAGGGAGAGCAATTCATTAGATGCCAGAGCCTAAATATCATTGCTTGTAAAGCAGAACTAGTAGTGACTGCCGCTCCCCTACCAGGCCATTGTGGGTATTGAAAAGGACCCAGTCTTAGCAAACTTTCATCTGTGGTACTTTGAATTCAGCTGGCCTGAATGGTGCCTTTGTGCTTACTGGAAAGAGGCACCCCCCGACCCCCAGGCAGGTATAGCTCTGAGGTTGGTGAGTGGAACACAGGGTGGATTTCAATCTCTTATTCTGGAGGCAGTGCTTTGTGCTGTGAACAGCCTGCACAACCATACACAGCAGCCCTGACTTTGGAAACTATTAAAGTATTGTTCAGACCTGATGCGTAATGATGCTGGTGAAGGCTCTGTCCCTCTTAATGTCTATTTGCACTGCAATGTCAGGGCTTCCTTTCTAAATGAGACCATCCCTGAAATGCTTGCTTTTTTTGCTCAGGTGTGGAGTTATTACTGGATGAAATTTATGACACCATTTTTGCTGGCCTGGACCTTGCTTCCACCTTCACTGAAACCACCCTGTACCGGATCCTGCAGAGACGGTTCCTAGCAGTTCAATTAGTCATCTCCAGCAGATTCCGATGTAAGTAACAAGCTGCCAACAGATGTGTATGTTTCTGCTGAGGGAAACCACTTGGGTTTTAAAGTGGCTACAGTCTATTTGGCTGTTCAATCAAAGTGAGTGTGGATATTAAAAAAAATCTTAGCAGCAAACAGCAATGCATGCTGTAAACACATGAAGCGTTGTGTACACACTGCCTTCTCCTTTCTTGCATGAATTTCTTCTAGGCCCCACAAAATGTGAAGTGGAGCGTTTTGCAGCAACCAGCTTTGGTCACCCCCATGTTCCAAGCTGCAGCCGAGATGGGGACTACCAGGCAGTGCAGTGCCAGAAGGAAGGGCCGTGCTGGTGTGCGGACGCCCGGGGAAAGGAGATCCAGGGAACCCGGCGGCAGGGGGAGCTGCCATCTTGCGGTGGGTTTCCTCTCTGGGGGCTTTCTCTTTTGGTCTCCTCAGATCATACTGCTGTAACTGTTCCCCCAGACAACCTTCTCTCGACCCCATTAATTCAACTGCCTACTAACTGCTCCACAGACCCTTCAAGTACGATGTGACTGAAAACCAGTTTATCATCATCAACTTCCAACATGTTTCTTACCTTGTGTCAGACGTAGTTGCTTTCTCAGGGAGCTCAAGAAATATTGGGGGGCTCATAGGTGGAAAAAAAAAGAAAAGAGAATCAAGTTTCCAGGTGCCGTGAGAGGAGTGTGTACAGGTAACTAAAGGACCGTAGTTGCAGGGTGGGGGGTGGTCCATTCTATCTTGCAGTATGCGTGAGCATGGGGCACTTAGGGAACCTTCGTGGAAGAGGTGACACTTGATCAGAGTTTTCTACAGTGAAGATGTTTCCTGAAGGAGGAAAGTAAAGAAAGGTGTTTTCTACAGAGAAAGCAGGAGAAGCAAAATTATAAGGACAGGAATAATAGGCATTGATAGGCTAATGATCACAGAATCTGCAAGAAGGATAGAGGAAAAAATTTTGTGGGAAAGGCAGTAGTACGTTGGTGAGGTCTTTCTTATCATAACAAAGGTGTGAGGTCTTCATCCTGGAGTGAAGGCATTGAGAGGTTTAAGCTGGAGAGTGTTGTGATAGCTTTTGTGTGTAAGACAAAGAAATTCTGGTGGAGAGGCAGAGGGGAACATTAGGTTGGAGGCAATGCAACTAATTAGAAGGTCATTGAAATGTTCTGAACCAAGATGATGGGGTCTATATTAGTTTTCTAGGGCTGTTGCAATAAATCATCACAAACTGGGTAGCTTAGAACAAAGGAATCTATTGTTTCACTGTTCTGGAGGCTGGAAGTCCAAAATCAAGGTGTCAGCGGGGCCACGCTCTCTCTGTAGGCTCTGGGGGAGGATCCTTTCTTGCCTCTTTCTAGCTCCAGCAACTGATGGCATTCTTTGGCTTGTGGCAGCATCACTCCAGCCTTAGCCTCCATTGACAATGGCTGTCTTCCCTTTGCACCTGTTTCTGTGTCTCTGCTCCTCTTCTTATAAAAAGAGCAGTCACATTGGATTAAGGGCCCACCTAACCCAAAAGGACCTCATCTTAACTACTCTCATCTACAATGACTCTTTTTCCAAATAAGGTTACATTCTGTGGTTCTGGGAAGAACATGAATTTTGGGGGGACACTATTCAACACGGTATGGGGACCGATCCTAAAGCAGAAGCAGGGGGAGGTAATGAGAACTGTTACCAGGCATTCCAGCAAGACCCCATTTGATCTTCCCAGTGGGAGTTTGAGGTATGTTAGCGATGAGGGAGGGACAAGAATCCAGGAGCTCTCACAGGCTTCTGACTTGGGTAAGCTGTGTAGATTCAGAAAGGTTTGCAACAGTGAAGAAGAATGTAGGGTTTTTTATGGCTTCAAAATAGATATGTATTAACGTTTGCTCAGTAATTCCTGGTAAATCACTCCATTTCTCCAACCTAACATTTTAAATATTCTATGTGGTGTTTGGTAGTGCTCTATCTGCTGAGTATGAGAGTGTTGAAAATGAAAATTTGGAGGTCCTGCCTTGAAGATATTAATACTTACAATCACATTTCAGTTCTGTCAAAACCTAGAGAATGTTGTGCCCTTTAATTTCCGGTGGAAATGAAGCACTATGGCTTTCCAAATGAAAAACAATAAATAGCTCTATCAAATGCATGGATGGATCATATATTTTTACTTTTTCTCTCTGGCATGTCAGTCCTCTTTCTGTGGAAACAAATGCCACATGGAAATGATATCTGAATTTCTTTGCCTTGGTAACACCACATAACAAATGGATGGAAGGGATAAGCTATGAATTTGGAAAGAGAATAAGCAGTCAACTTTATTCCTTCCATACCTTCCTGTAATAGCCATTAGAGGAGGCCATGGCCTCGGTGGGGGATGTGTTACATGCTCTGATGTTGCCAGTCTTCTTCCCACCCCCTCCCCCCTTCTCACCACATTTTCCAATTCTTTCTCTGTTGCCTGGTTACGGAAGGAAATTGGCTGACTTCCTCTTTGGCATCCATGTGCATCAAGAGGAAAAAATTATTTTAAAAGTTGGGGGTGGGTTGAGTGGTTTAAAAGGTCCTCTAAGATTTGTGATTTCATGGAGAAAAAAGCAGCATACTTACTTCTACCTATGTGACTGAGACCTCCACTTGGCATTTGAATTTTATTTTATTTTTTTCTTTAATGTGATTACGGTCAACCTAGGCTGTTTAGATAGAATGACCTGACCATGCATGGAGTTCACTGAGTTGATCACTGTTTAATTAGTAATTTCAAGGAAAGGTCAAGAAGCCCAGAAGAATGTGCTAAGTGTGTTTTCTGGGCACTATTGTATTATATTATAGGAAATATTATATTATAATAGAGGAAAATATTTCTTACTATGGGAAACACCAATATCATCTAAGATATGGTTCTTATCCTCAAGGAGACTGCAGCTAGCCTGGACAAGACTACCCATGGGGAGATATTAGGCAGTCACACAGAAAGCATATAGTGGTGCATTACAGTCCATTAAAAATTCCAACAAGGGAATACTTGAAAACAACATTTCATTAAATACAAATAGGAATTTGTTGGCATACTAGTTTCCTAGATTGCCATAGCATATCCCCACAAACTAGGTGGCTTAAAACAGCAGAAATTTATTCTCTCACAGTTCTGGGGGCTGCAAGTCTGAACACCAGGTGTGGGCAGGACCATGCTCCCCACGGAGGCTCTAAGGAAGGGTCCTTCCTCGCCCCTTCCTAGCTTCTGGTAGCTGCTGGCAATCCCTGGTGTTCCTGGGCTTGTGGCTGCGTCACTCCAATCTGTGCCTCTGTCCTCACATGGCCTCTTCCCTGTGTGTCTCTCTGTGTCTTCACATGATCTTCTAATAAGGACACCAGGCACTGGATTTAGAGCCCACCCCAATCCGGTGTGACATCATCTTAACTTGATTCCATCTGTAAAGATCCTGTTTCTAAATAGGTCACATTCTGAGGTTCCAGGTAGACATGAACTTGAGGGGAGGGACACTATTCAACCCAGTACAGCTGGCAAATGTGGTCAGATTTTTGGAAAGTAGGCCAGTGTCTATGAGGCTTGCTTTAGACAGAATCAACCTCCAATGAAAGCTGAGAGAGGTCACCTGGAATAGTCATGCTCCTAAATATGGTCCCTACAAGGCAGCTTTGAGGGGAAGGAAAAAATAAAAGGATACAGAGAAGAAATTAGTCCCTAGTGTAGGTGTCCTTGATTGAATTGATTTAGCATCTTACCACTGGAAAGATCTGAGGGGTTGTCTCAGGACTGCTCACAATGTTAATGTCACTTTTCCTGTTTCACTTTGTTTCGTGCAGCTGAAGACCAATCTTGTGCCTCTGAAAGGCGGCAGGCTTTGTCCAGACTCTACTTTGGGACCTCAGGCTACTTCAGCCAGCGCGACCTGTTCTCTTCCGAGGAAGGACGAGGCCCTCAGAGAGGAGCCAGGTTTGCCACATCCTGCCCACTGACGGTCAAGGAGCTCTTTGTCGACTCTGGGCTTCTCAGCCCAATGGTGGAAGGGCAGGGTCCACTGTTTTCCGCCTCAGAAAGTCTCCTCAAAGAAGCCATGCGAGTGCTTTTCCCTTCGCGAGAGCTGGCTCGACTTGCTCTTCAGTTTACTACCAACCCAAAGAGACTCCAGCAAAACCTCTTTGCAGGGAAATTTTTGGAGAATGTTGGCCAGTTTAACATGTCTGGAGCTCTTGGCACAAGAGGCACATTTAACTTCAGTCAGTTTTTCCAGCAACTTGGTCTCTCAGGCTTCCAGAACAGAGGGAGACTAGAAGAACCAGCGCAGCTGCTTTCTGTGGGATTGGATTCAAATTCCTCCACAGAAAGTCCTGAAGCTTTTAAGAAGGGTGTTGCTATGAATAAGCCAATTGTGGGCAGCTTTGGCTTTGAAGTTAACTTACAAGAGAACCAAAATGCCCTAAAATTCCTTGCTTCTCTTCTGGAGCTTCCAGAATTCCTTCTATTCTTGCAGCGTGCTATTTCTGTGCCGGAAGAGGTAGCAAAGGATTTAGGTGATGTGATGGACATGGTACTCAGCTCCCAGACCTGTGAACAGACACCTGGAAGGCTGTTTGTCCCGTCATGCACCACGGAAGGAAGCTATGAAGATGTCCAGTGCTTCCTTGGAGAGTGCTGGTGTGTGGATTCCCGGGGCAAAGAACTTCCTGGCTCAAGAGTCAGAGGAGGACGACCGAGGTGCCCCACAGAATGTGAAAAGCAAAGGGCTCGGATGCAAAGCCTCATGGGTAGCCAGCCTGCTGGGTCCAGCTTGTTTGTCCCTGCTTGTACCAGTGATGGATACTTCCTCCCTGTCCAGTGCTTCAACTCAGAGTGCTACTGTGTTGACATTGAGGGTCAGGCCATTCCTGGAACTCGAAGTATACCTGGTGAACCCAAGCAATGTGAGTCTGTTGTGTACTCAATAGGTAGACTCAGAGTCTCTCTTTAGGCCCTGCCCCAGTGCATTGCAGTAGCAAGAATCCACTCGTGGCTAAAGTCTAAACTTCAGTTAATGACAAAATTAACTGCTGAAAGTAAAAATTATCCAGGAACATGTGCATAATGTTAAGCATTCTAATAAGTGAGTAGGAAGCTTTGTTTGGCCTTAAAGAACTGCCACATACATTGCTGCAGTGCTGATCAATAGCTGGTCTCAATGGTGCTGATTTAGTCATGGGGTGGTCTCTGTCTAGATGGCATTTACAAATTTAAGGTTGATGGGATTTCTATGGCCATGTAAGGTTTTTTGATGGAGTTTGGACAGTTAAGTAGTTTCATCTTGGTCTGTCCAGCTTATTAAATTTGTTAAACTGAAACCCGTGTTCAATTTTCCTCCCCAGGCCCCACACCCTGTCAGTTGCAGGCTGAGCAAGCTTTCCTCAGGACGGTGTCGGCCCTGCTCTCCAATGTCAGCGTGCCACCTGCCCTCTCTGCCACCTACATCCCGCAGTGCAGTGCCAATGGGCAGTGGAGACGTGTGCAATGTGACGGGCCCCCTGAGCAGGTCTTCGAGTGGTACCAACGATGGGGGACTCAGAACGATGGCCCGGAGCTGACCCCTGCCGAGCTGCTAGTGAAGATCATGAGCTATAGAGAAGCAGCTTCTGGAAACTTCCATTTCTTTATTCAAAGTCTGTATGAGGCTGGCCAGCAAGGAATCTTCCCAGTGCTGACACAGTACCCTTCTCTCCAAGATGTCCCATTAGAGGTGTTGGAAGGGAACCTAACTCAGCCCGGGAAGAACATCCTCCTGGAGCCCTACATCTTCTGGAAGATCCTGAATGGCCAGCTCAGCCGGTACCCAGGACCCTACTCAGACTTCAGCACTCCCTTGGCACACTTCGATCTGCGGAACTGCTGGTGTGTAGATGAGGGCGGTCAAGAGCTGGAAGGAACACGGGTTGAGCCAAGCAAGCTCCCAGCATGTGAGTAACTCCTGTGAAGAGCTGAATTTACTTTTTTTTGTTTTTTGTTTTTTTAAGAGTGTTTAAATTGGAGGATATTGAATGTCAAAGCCAGAATGGAGTTTAGAGATGGCCAGGTACACACCCCTTCAATGCATGGCAGAGAAAACCAAGGCTGACAAATGGGAAGTAACTTCCCTGCATCTGCACAGTCAAGTGTTGGAAAGGTTGATATAGTATATTTTAAAATTTTCATATAATTGACTATTTAAATCAATGCCTTAGATTTTTACTGGATGTCTTCTGTGTGCAAAGCACTCTCTTAGAGCCAATGAAGGCTATAAAAGTGAAAATGACTGGGCCCTTGTCCTCCTATGGCAAATGTTTAGTAATCTCTCATCAGTTAGATGCACCATTTGATTAATCAATAAGGATCACGGTGACCCTGCTATTTGCACAAAACACTACTAGGTGCTCAGGACCCCAGGAGAGTGCCACCTAAAGTGACTTTAATTGACTTGGAGGGATTTATTGAAGGGACTAATTGGAGAGCCGCTCATGAAGGTCTCTGAGTTCAGCTTTGTGGCAGGTAGACTTATACAAAAGTTGCAGTATAGGAGGCATAAACAGAATGAGACTGAATCTGTGTCTTCACTGAAAATTCCTTATTCCCAAATAGCCATGCCAGCAATTTGAAAGAACAACCAGACAGATTCAACACTGTTATCATCAAATCAGAATCTCTCTAACCAGCAGTTGTTAGTATTATAGGTAACATAATAGCTGTTCAAGTTGAGTGAAATCTCTCAATTTTTTCCTTGCAATGTTCAACATTGTCTGGAACCTTTCTGGATATGTTAAAATTCATCAGGCTATTTTAATATTAGCCCAATTTTAGGCTTTAGCAGCAACTGGATTTTTAGGATGTCGGATGAAAGAACCATGTGATGAGAACAGTAATACCCTTGGCATTTTGAACAACCTGGAGATAATACTACTAGAATTCTCCATTAAAATGTCAAGTTCTAGCAGAAGTACCCATTAAAGTTAACACACTGATGTTGGTCTGACTCTTACATAAGAAGTCTTATTTATTTTTTTAGATCTATAGAATTATTCTCCATACCAATGGTCAGGTCTCCTACATGGGAACATTCTTATAATTTTAGATGTTCTGAGATTGAATTTTGTACTCTTGGTATGAAAATTTAGGGGCCTGAGTTGCTGAAACCAAAAGTACCTAGTAACTTTAGTGACTAGCCTTATATACCTTGGTCTGGACAGATCATTAGAACTAGACTTAGAGTAATTGGTTTTTCATTGAGTAACAGGAGGCTGTGTAGAGTAGACGGCCAGGTGTACAAGATCATCCATTAGAGAGGAAAATTAGACCTTCCATATGTATTCAGTATTTCATCACTTCCTTTCGCATTTCTATTTTGGTTTATGCAATTAAGTGTTAACAGCTGAAACAGCTGTGGAGACTGCACGTGGCATATTATTATAGCGGAACATGCATATGCTTTATAAAGAAATACCCATATCTTGGGGGTACATATTCAAGCTTTTTATTGATAGGGCTATGTGATAGAAAGGTTTTGGTGACCATTGGTTCAGAGCCTTGATCCTCAAAGTAGGGTCTATCCGTGTCGGCATCACCTTGGGAACTTAATAAAGATTTAGGGTCTTGGGTCCTACCTACTGAATCAAAATCTGCATTTCTTCAGTATTCCCAGGTGAATCTAATGCACCCACAAGCTTGAGAAGGACTGGCTTGGAGGACAGAACACTAGTACCTTGGTTCTGCCATTTACCACTGTGCGACCTAAAGGAGGGTGAGCCCTCCGAGTCTTAGTTTCATCTGTAAAATGGGAATTACAATACATAGCTACCTCAAAGGCCAGTTGGGGGAATTATAAAGATTAATAGATGTAAAGTGCCAGGCCTGGTACATAGGAGGTACTTAATACATGATAGCTGCATTCATACAATTGATTGTGAATAATGCAGTGACCAATAACTTCCATGCACGCAGGGATGATGGCTCAGGCCTCTAGGAGTATGAGTCCACACTGCCAACTCTGACCTGTTTGAAATTTGGCTTTCTTCATTTAATGCACGTTTATGGACCACCTACTGTGTGCACTGTGCTGTATGATGGTCACACAGTCATGAAAAGACTGATATGTGCTCTGAGAAGCTCAGGGACCAGTGGGGGAAACAGAGGTGTTATCGGATAAATAATACACTGCAATGGTATTACACAGAAGTCTGCACACAGAAAGGATGCCCAGAGAATGGGGCTACTAACTCATTGAAGATTGGGATAAACATTAGCTCAGCATTGATTTCTGGGATGAATCTTGAGAGGTGTTTGTCCAGCCACGTAATGTGTTCGGCCCTTTCCAACAGAGGAAGTAGCATGCACCAAGGATGTACAAGGAGTAGGGTGGAGAAGAAGGTTATTGTAGCAGGAAGGGAGGGGATTTAGAAGGGACTGACAGAAGAAGAGGAGGAAGGTAAATTGGGGCCAGATCTTTAAAGAACTCATGTGCCCACTTAAAGATTTTCACTTTGTCCAGGAAGAAATGGAGAACAAGCAGAGGTTTTTAAATGTGGGTTTTTGCTTCAGGAATTCTAAATCTCTGGGTCTAACAGAATAGAATATTTGATCAAGAATATCCATTAGAACAAGAAAACAATGTCTTCAAGTTCCAGAAGTCAAAGATCTGCTGATCTCATGCTCTCCAAAGAATCCACTCCACTGTTGAATTTGCAATGTGCTGGTTGAAGCAAATAGGGCTGGGCTGGCCTCTGCTACTAGTGACAGTTACAAGGACAGCACGTGCCAGACACCGTGCTGCCGAGCACCTCATAGAGTCATACAAAGCCCAGGGAGTCGATCCCCAGTTTTCCCCATTGCACAGAGCAGGAGACTAAAGCTAGGAGAAGGTAAGCACGTTATCCATGGTCACACAGATAATAAGTGACCAGTTGTACCCACAGGTCTTTGAGAGTCATACACAGGAATAACTCTCTAGTAACCTACAACACCTTTCTTCAACTTTTCATATCTATCCATCCATCCATCCATCCGTCTGTCATCTGCCCATTCTTCCATTAGAGGCAGCTGGTCAGGATCACTGTTTCCAGAGTGAGGCTGTCTGGACTGGAACGCCGGATCTGCTACTTGCTGGCTGGGAGCTTAAGTTGTATGACTTCTCCATGCCTCAATTGCTTATCTGTAGCATGGAAATAGGAATATTTTATTGGGCTATCGTATAGAATAAATTAGATTGTCTGCATAAATGTGCTTAGTAGGATGCCTGGCATGGAATGAACATTAGGTATTAGTAATGTTCTTATGTAGTAGGCCCTCCGTAAATGCTGAGCTAATGAAATCGTGGAGGCAAAACAGAAAGAACATTCGCTGATGTGAAGAAAACAGCTGAGGCAGAAATGTGTGTATATATGTGTGGTGTGGCTGTATGTGTGGTGTGTGTGGTGTGTGTATATGTCTATGTGTGCATATGTGTGGTGTGTGTATGTGTGTATGTGTGTGGCATATGTGGTGTGTGTGTAGGGTGTGTGTGTATATGTGTATATGTGTGGTGTGAGGATATGTGTATATATATGTGGTGTCCGGTGTGTGTGTGGTATCTGTGTACATTGTGTGTGGTGTGTGTAGTGTGTATATATATGTGTGTGTACGTGTATATATGTGGTGTGTGGCTTGTGTGTATGTATGCATGCATGTGACATGTGCGTGTGTGTGCACATGTATGGGTGTGTGCTTCAGGGAGGTCAGCGGGAGCTATATACGGTGAGTGAGTCCATCTGTGATATTTCTATTTCCCTAGGTCCTGGCTCCTGTGAGGAAGAGAAGCTTCGTGTACTGCAGTTCATTAAGGAAACGGAAGAGATTGTCTCAGCTTCCAACAGCTCTTGGTTCCCTCTGGGAGAGAGTTTCCTAGTGGCCAAGGGGATCTTGCTGACCAGTGAGGAGCTGGGTCTTCCTCTGCGCTCCCCAGCGCGGGAGGCTTTCTCAGAGAAGTTTCTGCGTGGGAGCGAGGATGCCATCCGTTTGGCGGCTCAGTCGAGTGAGTGTGCGCACGTCAGGTTTCTTTCTCTCTTTGGAGAAGCACGAGCTTAAATCAGCCTCTCCTCACCCTTCAGGACTTTGTGCTTTGGCTTCCCCACCTGGTGGGTTTCTGCGAAAGAAAAGGCAAAGTAGTTTTGTGACACCAAAGCTGATACGCTTCTCCAAAGCACCCCCAAATCCTCCAGCACAGCCACGCTGGGGCTGGTCCCCACATTCTGAACTACAGACGGCCCTACAGCTCCCACGAAGCCCAACATTCTTGTTAAAGCATGAAGGACCCCAGCTCCCGAATGCTCATGTAACCCTCATGGCCTGTTCCAAAACCTGCCTCCATTTCCAGGGATCCAGGAACACCACAAAGGTAGAGGGAGAGGAACCCTCTCTACTGAGGAGCTATCACATGTGTGAGCTCATCTAATCCTGCATACGACAGAGGAATAAGCTCAGAGAGCCCACCGTCCTCTAGCCCATAACAACAGCTAAACGATACTCAAAACTTGCCTTTGACCAGGCACTTAATGTGCTGCATAGATTATCAGATGCTTGCATTTAATCCTCTTAACAGTTCTAGGGGGATGATGCTATAATTGCCACCTACAATTCTTTACAAGTGGGGAAACTGAGTCTGAGGTTAAGTCACTTGCCTAAATTTAGCCAGCTAATAACTGATGGAGCCTGGATGGGAACCCCAGTGGTGTGGTCCTTGAGCCCATGCTCTCAGCTCCCCTGTACCCCACCAGGCTGATCCCAGGTGTGGTTGAAGTCTGTGCATAGATCTGCCTCATCCTGAAGCTCTCGTTCTTCCTCCACGGCCCCGTGGCCTGCTCTGGTGGCAGAGCCCAGTCCCCTTCAGGTTCTCTCTGGGACCCCACATCGACTTGGCAGGGACAAACGATTCATCATCTGTCTCTGGGCCTTACCTGAGTTCCCGTCCCTTTCAAATTGTCTCAGCTGATTCCCTGTCTGAAGTTTTCTAGTCTTGGGTCACAGAACAGCAAAGCAGAGCTGCCGATAACATCTGCTCCCAGTCCAGAGAACACACTCCCGCCGGCTGGCGCCTCCCCGCCTTCCTGCTGCTGGGCTTGGGATGGGGCTCAGTTGTCTTTGTTCTCTTAACTCTCCAAGAGACTCTCGCAAGGGCATCTTTGTTTCCTGCCTCTCTCCCTCACCAGATGTCTCTTTAGGAGGACAAGGCACCACGTCTTATTCATCTCTATATCCCTAGTGCCTGGTATAGCGCCTGGCCCCGAGGAGGAGCTCAGTAAATGGTGGTCAGCCATCCTGTTGTTTCCTTCCACCCCTTCTGCTTTTTCTTCCATTCACTACCCTTACCCTATGCCCAGGGACATCTATTCTCTGTTCCTCAGAGACTTGGGGACTTCTGCTTTTGACAAGAAACCCATTGTTCGAAATTTTGTGCATGAACAGGATTTGACATAACCAAAGAGAGAAGTGGCACTGATGCTCCTTCAGTTGTGACCACTCCAGTCAGAGAGGGAAATGTAGAGAAAGGGGCAAGAGCATTGTTGGTGCCATAGAGATTTGTCATTGAATGGTGTGGTGACATTTTCTTCGGAAGTCAAGCTGAGGAAGCTCCTCTCCAACTAACCACATGATGATTTTGCATGTCTGAGGCTGTGGGGAAAGAGGAAGGGTCCACAGAAAAGGACCGAAACTGGTCTTCTCCCTGAGAGTCTCGGGTTGAGGACCCAGGACAAGAAGAGACTGAGGGCCACAGTGTGTCTGTGGTCAATAGAACATGGCAGCAATGTCCTAGGGCCTCACGAGGGTGGCAGAGGGTACGGGACTGTGCTTGGCATGAACATGGCCCTTAATGCCTATTGGCTTTTTTGATAGACATAACACACTTACCCTGTTAGGTGAGTATTAGACCCATTTCATAGAAGAGGAAACTCAGGCTCAGAGAGGTTGGCCAATTTTCTCATAATCACACAGCTAAGAGGTGCAGCACCAGAATTCAGGCAGAGGCTTATCAGATTCCAGAAACCTGCCCACTACCCAGGATGCCCTAAAGGCGGGTATTGCTGTCCCCAGATGGGTTCTGACTGCAGGTTGGTGGCATCCTTATATCTGTGAGCTCCCTGCTTGGAGCCATGAAGCCCATTTCTGAAGGGTGGTGAGTTGGGGAGAACTGCCCTGACATGTGGCAGGCGATGGCCAACTGGGCTGCCCCAGATGTGGCCATTCTCCTCTAGGATCCCTGGGAGGAGCCACAGCCCATCCCAAGCACCTGCGGGAGTGGACAAGAGGAGAGGGGTGGCCCTGGAAAGAGGGCCTGGGAGACGTTTATGGCCACCAAGGAGGAGGGTGTGTTGGGGGCAAACTGGAGTCCGGCGAGACTTAGACCAAGCGGCTGTGTGTCCTGACCACCCCTGTCCTCTTTGTCCTCTCCGCCTCATACATTCATTCTTTCTCTTTTTCCAACTCAGTTATTTCTTGAGTGCCTACCATGAGCCAGGCACTGCTCTGTGTGCACAAATCTCTGCACCAAAGAGCATAAATGCTCGTGTGGAAGAGATAAACCTAAACCAAATAAATAAGTGCACTGTCTAGTGTGTTGCTGGTGGAGAGAGCCATGCGGAAAAGTGTGGTGGGGCAGGAGGATGCCAGAGCTGAGGACGGGGTGCCATTTCATTAGTGGGGTGACCACCGGTTCATCACTTAACCTCTCTCATGGAGCCTCTGTTCCTCACCGGGGTAAAAGTTCTGACTTCGTGGAGCCGCTGTGAAAATCAGATATGATTTTGTGGATAACCAAGCTTCCTAAGAGGGCAGCCGACTTAGACTGACCTCTTGTGTTCAAGTCCAGCCTCTCCACATCCCAGCTGTGAGGCTTCAGTTTTCTCATCCATTAAATGAGATAATATTGCCTTCCTTGTTGAGTGGTTGTGAGGATTAAATTAATTAAAGTGTGTACTTAGACAGTGCTTGGTACATAACAAATGCTTGTAAACCTCAGATGTTATTGCTGTTATCTCATGTGCCTGACATCAATTCTCTATGGAAGTCATTGTAGAGATCTACAAAGATTCTTTTAATTTTAAGCCTAAATGTTATTTATAAGGACAATCTGTTGAATGCCTGCCACTGTTCAAGATGCCTCTGTAACATTTTGGGTTGAAATGTCTGTCAAATAAATTAGAGGACCTCCTTACATTGGAACAGGGTTGTAATTGGTTATTCTCAGTGACAGAGCCCACACTGGGCAGGTGGTCACATTCTGCTTCTCTCCTTCCCTGACTCCAGCCTTAACCTTCTATCAGAGACGCCGCTTTTCCCTGGGCGACAGGGCTGGAGCACCCACTCTCCTGCTGTCCAGTCCCTACGTGCCGCAGTGTGATGCGTTCGGAAGTTGGAAGCCTGTGCAGTGCCACGCCGGGACTGGTAAGGGGTGGCGGGCACGTTTGGGAGGCTGAGTGACACCGCCTCCTTTTCATTTAGAGGAAAGAGCCCCGCACTGGGAGGCAAGTGAGCTGGACTCTCAGGCCCCTCTTTGGCAGCTGGTGACAAATCCCTTAGCTTCTCTGGCCTCCAGTTGTCTCACCTGTGTCACGGGAGCAGGAAACTTCTACCAATATGGAGGTCAAGTGGGTGGCTGCCAGGGGCATTGGGACTCTAAGACCTGTGATTATGGACAATGTCAGCCAGGGAGTCTGGGCCAGGAGGACAGAGAGGAGACCTTGCTTTGCACTGCTATGAATGCAAAGAAGGAAAGTTGTTTATGGGACCCTGGGAAGCAAAACCCCAGTGCGTTTCCTGAACTCCTGGCCCCTGGTTCTTTTTAGGGCACTGCTGGTGTGTGGACAGGAAGGGAGAGTTCGTGCCCGCCTCGCTGACTGCCGGGTCCCCACAGATCCCTCGGTGTAAGTGAAGCCTGCGGAGCTCTCCAGCTGGCCCCCGGGGTGGGCACTCTAGACTGGCTGGGCCAGCTGTGATTACCCAACTGCGGGAGGCTCCGTGTCCCAGCCCGTGTCTCAGACCATCTGAGTACAGCAGACACATTTCCCCAAGTCCCAGGTCCAGAGGCTCCTGCTCACCTTGGCCCTTTCTGATTGGTGCTCCCAGTTTCACAGGTGAGGGAAACAGCTGCGAGTGATGAGGGGGCCCTGGTTCCCCTCCCCGTGCACCTGCTCCCTGGGCAGTTGTAGCCTCTGCTGCAGTTTCAGCGCCTCCCATCTGGACTGCCAGCCCCAGCCTCTCCTAGGGCTCAGCAGTGTGTAATCCACAGCCACTCGCTGTCGTAAACTGGCATGTCCCACATGGGTGTTTGTCCTTGACCTTAAGCTGCTTCTCCTCTGAGCTTCCAGCTCTCTGTGAAGGGCACCTCTGTTCACCCAGACACATGGCTCTGAAACTTGGGGTCTGCCCGGGCTCCCTGTTTTCCCTCAGTTCCCATGATCAGTCTGTTAAAAGCACCCATCTCTCTCCCACAGGCCCCACCACCTGTGAGCTTTCTCGAGCCCGTGGGCTGCTTTCTGGTTGGAAACAGGCTGGATCCCAGGGAAACCCATCTCCAAAAGACCTGTTCATCCCAACCTGTCTAGAGGTAAGGCTCTGACGGCCAGGAAGGGTGTTGGGAGGGAGCCAGGATGTGCCTCCATTGGTTGAAGATTTTTCTAGTTTTCAATACATTTGGTTTAGTTAAAAACTGACATGGAGTTCAGCCTGGGCATTTGTCCTGGGCCTTGTAGACCTTGGCTCTGTGACTTCAGGCAACTTACTTACCTTCTCTGTGCTCCAGTTGTTTTTTTTAATCATAAGATCAGGCCACATTTTGTCCTATCTAGTGCTAGGATTGTTTTGAGACCCCAGAGAAATATCTTTCGTGAAAACTCTTTGAAAAATAATCAGAACATATACAGTTGCTACCATGTTTTTCCTCAAGGCATCTTGGCCAACACCCTATGCTCATTGCATCTCAGGTTCCCATTGATGGAGGACATCGTCCTATTTCCCTCCCCAGCTCCCTGGATGATTGTAATAATTCATAATTCAGTGAAGTACTCATGTAAAAGCTCCTAGAGAAAGGATTTAGGCCCCAAATCTTAATCACTTACTTGCCAAGTGATGAAGTCTCTAAAATAGGGATGACGGGAACACCACCACCTGCTCTGCCCAGCTCCTGGGGACTTTATGGAAGTCAGATGAAATCAGCAAAGTAGAAGTTCATGAAACTGTAAAGTATGAGCAAAAGTTTCCTTATTATTATTGTTGGGTACGATGAACCTGGACCCAATTACAGTTAGTTTCTTAGAGAAATTAGCCAACATTATTTAGTCTTTATATCTTGGCTGGCAGGTGCCTACTGTGGGCATACAATTCTTTTCCATCTTCCTAGGCACTGGTGCTTGCTCAGGGAGACAGAGATGAAGAAGCCACAACTTCAGAGGGGGAAAAGTGATTCCAGAGCAGAACTGAGAGGCGCTCTGATGCTGGGGTTCTCTGCCCACTCCTGTGGAGGACCCTGGCACTGGCCAACAGCACCCAAGACTCTCACTGCCCAACTCCCCAGGAAAAGCCAATAGTCAGAATATTCTCAATTTTAAGACTTTATCCCATAAAATTTTCTCAAGCCTTTGCTTGAGTTTGAAACTTACCTCCGTAGCTTAACTGGATCTCTCTGGGACAGTGAAGTCCCTACCTCCAGGGTACTGCATGGATCGAATGCCACACCAGGGTAGGGGGTGATTGTCACAGGGAAGCCTCACGGTTACATTCTCTGTCCATGTCACATGTCACGATTATTGTCACTGCTTGTCTGCAAACAAGGCATGGCAGATCACGAAAGGAACAAGATGGCAACAAATCCTGCAGGAAACAGCGACGGCTGCTGAGCTCGGCAGCTGCTGCTTTTCTCCAGCACATCTGCTTGTGCTTGTGATGGAGGAGAGAGGACATTTCCTACCACCATGTTCTTAGAAGGCACATGGGAAACTGAGGCCCAGAGAGTTGAAGTGGCCCGAAACAGGCCAGGGAGGGAGGGGTTGACGCTGATGGGGTTCTGTCCCGTGAGTCCTGGCCAGACACAGGGCTTGGGTAGCTGCCTGGGTCTGTATTCTTTCCTCCCTGTTACAGACACTTCGGGCCCTCTCTTAGGGCTGTTCATTGAAATCGCCTGTGGGATTGGTGGGGCTGGTTCAGGAGAGCGGCTGGGCTTTTGGGGCTGCTGGCTTTGGGCCCTTACCAGCTGTGGGTGCTGTTCCTCCACTTCGCCTCCCTGAGTGAGCCTCAGTTTCCCCCACCCTAGAGTGGGAGAACTGTGGTCCTTGTTTCATGGGGTAGTTGCAACCATCGATTTAAATAACACACAGAAATGGGGGGAACAGGAGAGTGCCTCTCCCACCCCCTCCTCTTTCCATCTATAAAAGCCATCACCGGTTGTTTTGGGAGGGACATGTTTGATATCTGCCCATCAGCAGGTTGATTACAAAAGCCTCTTGCCTGCGGTGCCTCACATGACCTCGGCTTTGTCTCAGACAGGAGAGTACGCCAGGCTGCAGGCGTCAGAGGCTGGCACCTGGTGTGTGGACCCTGCATCAGGAGAAGGGATGCCACCTGGCTCAAACGGCACTGCCCAGTGTGAGTGGTCACCTCCCCCTCCCAGGAGCACTGGGTGTGGAGTGCAAAGAGCTGGCTTCGTGTCCCAGCTCTGCCGCTTCCACAGCTGTGGAGGCCCAGCCCCTGACCTCACTGCACCTCGGTTTTCTCATCTATGAAATGGGGCAATATTCCCCCAGCTCAGCAGGTTTCTGGTTGAAGCAAATGTGCAGAGAGCAGGCTGTGCTTTGTGACTGAGAAGTGCAAACCAGCATGGGTCCCCGTCAAAGGGGCACTGGTGCTTTCTCAGGTTGACCAGCTGTGCGGCTCTGATAAACACAGGCCCTACCTGGCCCTGGGCTTGCAGCCTGGCCCTGCGATCTGGTTCCCACAGTGAAGTCCAGGTGCTGTCCCTAAAGTGCAATGTGCTGATGTCCCTCCCTGCCTAAAATGGACACTTCCCATCATCCTTGGGGCCCCACTCAAGCTCCCTGGCATGGCACAGGGCCCCGTGCACCTGGCTGCTGTGTGGCTGCTTTGGCTTCTCTGCTTCTCCATTGCTCATGCTGTACCATCCGGTTGCGTAGTAATACATTTTGGTCAGACTTTGGAAGAAGGTGAATGCTCCTTCCATCTGGGGTCTTCACAAATTCTGGCTTTGCCATCTGCAATGCATCCATCCATCCCCTCCCTACCCCCTACCTGGCTGATCCCTGCTTGGACCATGTGTCCGTCCCTCCAGGAAGCCTCCCCTGGCTTGTCTCTTGCATTGCTGAGCTCAGTGCTTTAGGGTCTCCCCATGGCTCCTAAAGGGCACTGCTGTTGCCCTTATCTCACTGGACTGTACCTGCTCATCCCTTTCAGACTCCTGGCAGTGGTGTGGGAGAGAGCACAGAGCTGAGCATGCACTGTCTTTGCCCAGCTGTAGCCCAGCACCCCAGTGGGGAGGCCACCCCAGACCCCGGAACGCCCTGCACGCGGGTTGGCCATGGGTGGCAGGGAGGTCACTTGGCACTGGAACAGGGAGTGGGAGCCAGGTGTCCAACTGGCTTGTCTCTGTGTCAAGGCCCAGGCCTCTGTGACATGCTCAAGAGTGGAGTCGTCTCCAGGAGAGTTGGCCTTGGCTTCATCCCAGCCTGCGGGGCAGAGGACGGGGGCTTTTCCCCAGTGCAGTGTGACCCGGCCCAGGGCAGCTGCTGGTGTGTCATGGGTAGCGGAGAGGAGGTGCCCGGGACCCGTGTGGCTGGGAGCCAGCCCGCCTGTGACAGTAAGTCGTGACCCTCTGGAGGGACCCTGGGGCTAGCATATCTCTTCCTTTTCCCAGACTGGGTGGGGTTCCAAGGAAACAGGGACAGTGGGGCTTTCAGGGGAGACAGGAAGTGCAGGAAGGATCTAGATGCAGTTGACGCCCATGACATTGAAATTTACGTCTACTTCCTAAAAATGCCCAGACCAGGGGCTGAAATCAGAAGGAGCGTGGCCAGGGATTCTCCAGACCCGGCACCTCAGGGAGCTCGGCGCTGGCCTGCTGAGGGGCTCTGGGTCTTGCTCTCTGTCCCCGAATGGGGAGAAGCACCCTGACCGTGGATCTCAGTGTGATGGTCCGTCCCTGCTGGGTGCTTCAGGAATCTGTGTTGACTTGTTTATTTTCATTTCTAGTTTAAAAATGTGTGTGGATATAAAATATTGAAATATACATCATATGAATATGTGTTAGAAAAACTACATCATTAAATATAAAAATTTATTATTTAATTATGAATTACTTACCTTTTATTAATATTTCTCCAATATATTCAAGTCATGGGACATTGCAGTCATTTTAAAATTTATTTGAGCAGGTAGGTTAGACTACCTGTGAATTTCATTTCAGGACAGGAAATGGAGACATTACAAAATATTTATTATAAATTGGGGTGGGAGTTCTGGCAGGGTTGAGACATACTGTGCTGAATGATTCTGATTTTGCTACAGTTGCCTTTCTTTTGATGTTGTTATTGCTTTATTTTTTTTTTTATTTTCCAATCTCTAAGCAACAATTTGGAACTGCAGAAAAATTTATTTAGGTCTAGTGATAGTTCTGGTTGACATGTGTAAAGAGATGGGCACATATCCTGCAGGGCATGTAGTGGGTGCTTTATGGCTGTCTGTGAGGGGAGCTGCCTGCCCTGTGCTTCTGAGAGGGGGAGAGAAGTGAAGGCTCTGCCTTAAGTCAGACATGGTCAACACTCAACCTCCAGGTCATCTAGGAGCGGTCTGCACCGAGACCCAGGGCACAGACCAATGTGGCCTCCTCCAGGAATGGGTCTGGAACGTAGCTCCTTTGGGGCTTGGGGAGGCTCTACATGGCTTGGACCTGCAGGAGTCCATGGTAATAGCTCACACGTGCAGAGATTTACCTGCTAAAAGGCGCTCTGTATTTCCCTTATCCCATTTTGCCTTCCAACAATACGGGGAAATAGAGCTTTCTTATCTCCCTATTTTACAGTGGCTAAATTGAGGCTCAGAGAGGTTTATAAACACATCCAAGGTCGCACGGCTATCAAGTGGAGCAGCCAGGGTTTAACCCAGGGTCCTGCTGACTGAAGCTCTGTGTTGTGCAGCTGTGAGGGCTTTGGGAGAAGACAGAAGGAAGGCTCAGGAAGGTCATTCGAATGGCCTTCTTGAATAAAGAAAGAGAAAGGATAAATATGCCCAGAAGAGCTTGCCCTCCTCTCCTTACAACTGTGCAGGTTTCCTTAATTTGCTGTGTGTTTTCAAGGCTGTAGAGCTAACATTTACCCAGGCTTAGGCATGGGGGCGAAGGCTGGGCAGGTGCTTGCCCGCTCCCTTGACCCCACTGGCCTGTGGGACTGGGCTGGGCGTCTAGGGAGACCTGCGGTCCATGCTGGGCCCAGCAAGCCCTCCCTGGGCTGGGCCCACTGTGGATATTCGGTTAATTTTGGCTTCTATGCTTCTTCCTTTCTCCTCAGCCCCTCTTCCCCTGCTGTGGAGGCCAGGTGATTCACACCACAGCCAGGGAGTCCCTTCATTTCAGGGAAATCAGGGAAGAAGGTCTTGGGGAAGCAAAGCAGGTCTGTTGGGGAGGGCAGGGGCACCAGCAAGAGAAGTGTCAATGTCCTGGGTGATGTTGGTGACCCCAGGAGGAAAGCCCCCTCCCAGCCTAGTCAGAGTACTCACTGGCCCACTGCCCCAGAAAAGCCACAGGTGCAGATCCTTCCCATGGGGTTAGAGGGAAACCATATTTGTGAGATCTGGGGGCTCACACATCACTCACTGACACCTTGCTTTTTACTCATATACACATGTGCATCTAGCAAATTGGTGGGGGACATGGACTCTGAGGTGAGAGTGACAGGGTTCAAATCCTGGCCTGCTGCTTACTAGCTCTCTGACCACAGGCATTCACCCTCTGTGCGCCTAAGCATTGGTGTCTGTAAATAGGGATGATGGGGCCTACCCCAGAGGGTCACGGGGAGCATTAAATGAATTGGTAGTAGCCTGTAATCCCAGCACTTTGGGAGACTGGGGCAGGAGGATCACTTGAGCCCAGGAATTTGAGAGCTATGATTGCGCCACTGCTCTACAGCCTGGGTGATAGAGTGAGACCCTGTCTCTAAGAAAAGAAAAAAAGTGAGTTGATGTTAGTAAAGCTCTTAACAGTATACCTGGCACATACCAAGTGTCACATAAGGAGTTTTTAAATAAATACTCCTGCTAGGAAGTAGGCATTGTTGCTATCCTCTTCATTTTATGAGTGAGGAAACTGAGTCACAGAGAAGTTCATTCACTTGCCCTAGGCCACTCAACTAGTAAATGATAGAGCCAGGATTCACAGCCCCAGAGCCCACACACTCAGCACTTGGAAAGAGCCAACTCGATAAGCCCACTGTAATCACAATGCAGAATCTTGGCCAGAGGCCATTGTTTTTATTAAAAAGAAGCCCAAACTACTGTACAAAAATAATTCATGTAACCAAAATGTTTGTAACCCTGTAATATTCTGAAATAAAAAAATAAAGGAAATTAGTTGACATCCCTCCCCAGCAAAAAAGCCCAGATTGAGCCCTGGAGATCAAAATAGATCCTTCTTCATCTTTGAGGTCCCTGAATACCCTCCTATCACACAGAGATTGCAGATTTAAAAGCCAGATATATACTGGTCACAAGGCTGTGCCCAAGTCTGATAATTGACTAAATCTCTAATCGGATGTGAAATTGTCACACTGAATGTGTTTGCTCGTTAATTTACTCACTCACCCATTTATTTAACTTGCATTCATCGAGCTGCGGCTGGATCGGCATCGTGCCTTGGCCTGGGTGAACAGAGGAAAGGTTCCCTCTTTCTCCCTGCAGACTCGACCCAGTGGAGAGACCACTGTGCAGATGATTAGAGTTTCGAACAATGAATGAGGGGGAGGCCTATACCAGGGGGCCTGGGGATCCAGAGGACACGACTGAAGTCGGCTGGGGAACCACAGAAGGTGTTAGAAAACTGAATGTGTAGAGCTGATATCTGAGGGTCGAAAAGGAATCTACTAGACAGATGAGCAGGCAGAGGGCAGGGCGTGGTGATGTGTTCAGGGGAGAATGGGAGTGGAGAGAGGGAGGCAGGTCAGCAGGAACACTGGGGAATTGGGAGCCACTGTCTGGCTTCTGTGCAATTTCGCTGCCAGTAGCAGGGACTGGGTGGGACAGGCAGCAGAAAGGCAGAGGGTGAGGTCCAGATGCAGGGGCCTGGCAAAGAGGCTGTGCTAGCAGTTCAGGCAGAAGACGGGGGGGCATCTAACTGAAGGAAGAGGCAGTGGGAGTAAAGAAACAGTGTGAAGGTCTGAGCCACGGCAGGGCAAAGGAGACGGGGCCCTGCAGGAAGGCTGCCAGGCTGCTGGCCTGGGATGGCTGCGTGGCTTGAGGTGCTGCCCCTTGGGCTGGGGACACTGAAGTGAGCAGCAGCTGCTGCGTCCAGACTTGGATGGTTGGCTTTGAGGTGGAGAGACTGGGTGGCAAGTAATTGGATTAAGAGATGGAAAGGAGCTTGAGTGCCTGAGCTGGAGACGAAGCTACGAGAAGCATCTGTGCTTTGCAGCCTATTCAAACTGAGAGAGGATGAGCTGTCCAAGCAGTGGACAGGGCAGAGCTGAGAGCACAGCATGCTGGAGAAGGGGAGAGGAGGAGGGCCTGGTGTGACCGAGAAGGGGACACTCACAGGTGGGCACGCTCAGCCCTCCAAGGCCGGACACATGCCCACCACAGCTCTGCTTTCCTCCTAGGCCCGCAGTGCCCGCTGCCGTTCAACATGTCAGAGGTGGCTGGAGGAGCAATCCTGTGTGAGAGAGCCGCGGGCCCAGGGGAGGCCGCCATCCAGCAGTGCCAGCTGCTGTGCCGCCGAGGCTACCAGAGCGTGTTCCCGCAAGGGCCACTGGTGTGCAACCTGGAGAGCGGACGCTGGGAGTCACCGCCACCTCAGCCACGGGCGTGCCAGCGTGAGTGGCCTTGGGAAGTCTGTCCTGCACCCCGATTCCTCCCTGGGCTAGGGCTGGGGCTGAGACCAGGGTGTGCATGCATGACTGCTTCATTCCCCACCCAAACGCAGCACTTTTGTGGTGAGCCAGGTGGCACCAAGAGAGGAGAGAGGGCTCTGTGGAGCATTTTCTTCCGAAGGAGCAGATGTGCTTCATAGTCCCCTGGAGTTAGGCTTTATTTGTGCCTTCTCTGGAACCATCTGCTCCTTGGGAGAATTGCCATCACTCCAGCTCTCCTGGGATGTCTTGGATTAAGGACGAATACTTGGCAGGTAGGTGCTCTGACAGCGTATTGGTGACTATAGTGTTGGCACGCTCAGCACTGCTTATCCGGCCTTTGAGAGTCACTCTGCCCCACCAGCCTCTGTGCCAGACCACATGGACGTCCAGGGCTAATGCCTGGTAGAGCAGGGGGCCCTGGACCCTGCTCCTGGTGGGGCAACAGTTCTGTCGCTGAGGCCTGTGCTCTATGTAAACATCAGCGCTGCCCCAGTGCTCTATGCAGAGCTGCTTTCTCCTGCTCACACTGAACCCACCTGACACACACGCACACAGCTGTGTGGGAGCACCGGGCTCCGTGGTTACTCACAGCCAGACAGGGCAGGGCAGACAGCTGGGACCTAGCACTTGGTCCACCCAGCGCAATGGGAGGGGCGTCTGGGAGAGAAACCCAGACCCTGGGTCTGACTGTCTCAGGCTCAGTCAGGGTGGCTGCCAGAGGTTCAAGGACGGTATTTATTGCAAAGCACTCTGGGATGTAGAGGCTCCCCATCCAGGGTGGCCTAAGCTGAAATCAAGCGTGGATCTTGAGCTCCTCAAGTTGAATACAGACTGCTGTCTATGACTGTGCAGGTTGTGCACTGAACAACCTTAGATTATGCCATTCCCATAGTCTATGGTGTCTATTCTTAACCTGGAAAACCATATAATGTGGCTCTGTCTGTATGCAAGATAGTTTGGAAAATTTTCCAAGGAGAATGTCTGGGACCCCAAAATGTAAAGCACTGTGGTTTAGAGGCAGAGGCAGGACTGAGCTTGGTGTGAGGGTGCTAAGTAATTTCGGAGACAAGCCATCATATTAGGAAGTGTTGAGACTCTGAAGATGACAATGCAAAATGGTGGTGCTTGTGTTCTTCAAGCTAAAAGAGGAAGGGTTATTTTTGCTGAGGAAAACAAAGAAAAGAATTCCATGAGTCTGTCACCTCTGTCTGCTGACCACTGGTGCTCGCCTGCAGGGCCCCAGCTGTGGCAGACCATCCAGACCCAAGGGCACTTCCAGCTCCAGCTCCCGCCAGGCAAGATGTGCAGTGCTGACTACGCGGGCCTGCTACAGGCTTTCCAGGTCTTCATATTAGATGAGCTGACGGCCCGCGGCTTCTGCCAGATCCAGGTATGCACTTGGCCTTCCCCACCGTGAAGGCTTGGACTGAGCTCAGGGCCACCGTGTCAGCCTTTGCCCACTTTGCTGAGCCTCACATCAATCATCTGTGAAATGCAGGGTCACGTTGAGTGAGATAACACACAGATCCAAGCTTTTGCTCCTTGCACTCTGCCAAGAGGTTAGGATGGAAGGTTCTGGGGTTAGCAGGGATTCGAATCCTGGCTTTTCTACCTATTGGCTGTGGGATCTTAGATAGTTCCTTAGCTTCTTTGAGGCAAATTCTCCATCTTTAATGTGGGTAATGATAATCTTGACTCCATAGATTTATTTCAGAGATTAAACCAGCTAATATTTCTAAGGCACTTAACACAGGGCCTGACTAACAGAACATGTTCAAGGATTGTTTCACGTTGCCTTCTAAGAATACCAAGTGCCTGGCGCATAGCAGGTGTTCATTAAATGACAACTATGTGAACACCTACATCCACTTACCTTTGTTGGGGGTGTAGCATGGGACACAGGACATAGTAAGGGCTGGGTGCCGGGGTGTTGGAGTGAATGACAGCCTGGCCCTCAGGCTGTGCCTGTGTGGCTGTCCAGGGCCAGCTTTCAGGGCACCGTCTGCATCCTGAAGAAGATGGTAGAAGCCTCTATGCTGAAGGCTGAGGGCCAGGGCCACATTGACTCCATATTGTGGTTGGGGACAGGTACCTTCACTTTCCTTCCAGAATCTTCTGTTTACTCTCTAAATATCCAAGCTTTTGATAAACTAACTTCCCCTTGGGCTTTATATAGATTCTCTTGTGTTGTTATCTTTTGCTATGGTTTGAATGTGTCCTCCTGAAATTCATATGTTGAAATCTTATCCCCCAGGGTGGTGGTATTGGGAGGTGTGGGCTTTGGGAGGTGATTATGTCAAGAGGGTTGAGCCCTCATGAAGTTAGTGCCTTTATTTAAAAACATCCCCCCAGAGAGATCCCTGCCCTTTCCACCATGTGAGGATACATGAGAAAAGGGCCATCTATGAAGAGGGCCCCACCAGACACCAGATCTGCCAGCTCCTTGGTCTAGGACTTCCCAGCCTCCAGAACTGTTTATAAGCCACACAGTCCATGGTATTTTATTGTAGCAGCCCAAGTAGACTAAGACATCATTGGAAAGAGGACCATGTGAAGAGGGAAAGATGAAGCTGTGTTGTACTCTGGACGTATGCCTGGCACTGTCCTCGGGCTAACAGACCTCACAACCGTCCATCTTCCCATCCTGCCCCGAGGAGCCCGCAGTCCTTCCATTCACAGATGTCTGGCAGGCACACCTCGGCCACACTCAGGCTGGGAGGAGAGACCAGGCCACGTAGCCAAAATGGAGGAGCCAGAGGATGCTACAGGGGTTCAGAGATGTCCTGTTGGATGTATGTGTGGTGAGGTTGTTTGCAGAGTCGGCTGAAGTTGTTTCACCAATAAAACACAAAATTAGGAGTATGTGGCCTTCCAAGAACAGAGCTCTGCTCTTCCTCTGCTTGGGCCTCTGCATGCCATGCAGGCAGGGCAGGGTATTGAATGTCTCAGAACCTCCTTTACCTGGGGAAGGGAAAGGGAGGGTACCACTGCCTCACCCCCTGAGATGATAAGGGTGGAAGGAAGTAGCATGAGCCAAGTTCTGGCTCCTGGTGTGGGCCCAACAAAACTGGTTTCTGCTCTGTGTTCTTGAACTGACAGTGTCTGTGTCCATGTAGGTGAAGACTTTTGGCACCCTGGTTTCCACTCCTGTCTGCGATGACTCCTCCGTGCAGGTGGAGTGTGTGACTGGGGAGCGTTTAGGAGTGAATGTCACATGGAAATCACAGCTTGAGGACAGCCCAGGGGCCTCTATTCCTGATTTACATGACATTGGTATGTTTTTCTGCAGCACTGCCTTGGGGAAGCTATGTAGCCTCTCTGAGTCTCAGTTTCCCCATCTGTCAAACGGAGCTAGTGGAGACCAGGATGTGTTCCCGTGAAGATCATGGGGCAGCTAATTACTTAAAAATATATAAAAAGCAATAGAACTCTGGTCAATAGCATCCTAGAGTTAAATAATATCCATAGCAAAGAGCCTGATTGTGCTTTTGTGAACATCTTCTAATACTTCTCTTGATTTTCTGCATACAGAGAGTGTGAAGGGAGAGCAGCGTGGGGTGAGGGAGTCTTCATTGGTTGATAGTTTATGTCTCACCCACTTCCAATTATAAAACATCTCAGATCACTTACACTATTTAAAACAGGGAAGTTATGATGTGGACAAATCAAGACAGGAGAAAAATCTGGGAGGAGCAGATTGGATTTTATGGTAGCTACGTTAGGGTTCACTGTGTTCAGTTCTGAACTTTCTGGTAAGGCACGAAATAATCCATAAATTTCTGACAGGAGAATAGGAGGCAACTCCACTCTGTCTTCTACTGCTCAGTGGCCAAATCCCCAAGGGGCAGGACTGACTGGAGCTCTCCCTGTCTTCTGTGAGGAGGAACTTCTGGAAAACATTTCCAGGAAGGAAGACTATATCTCTGTCATTCTCCATCCCTCAGGGCACTAACCTGTGTGAACATACCATCCCCCCCAATTTTGAATTAGGGGTCCCCTTCCTTCTTCCTCCAGAGAGAGTCTGGATAATTTGGGTGTGTTTGGAGCTGCCAAAGTGTGGGGTGCTCATTGCTGGCTTCAGTGGTGAGGCAGTGACCGTGGTGACTGTGGTTTACAGGAGCCGCGGCAGCGTGAGTGTCTGCTGCGTGCTGGGGTCCGCCCACCTCCCCACGTGGCGCACCTCTGCTTTCTTCATAGGAAACACTCACGGTTCCATAGCCGGAGGCTTCTCTGTTTTGGCTGAGCACTGAGGTGGAAGGCCACGTTGCATCCTCAAGCCCTTCCCTTCCCTTGAGTGGCCCCTTCATACACATTCTCTCCTGGTATCCTCACCAGCTGCAAGAGAGGCATTCCTGGCCCATTTTCCAGGGGGGAAAATCTGAGACTCAGGGGTGTTCAGTGCCTCATAAAAGGTTGAAGTGGATGAAGGTCTGGACAGTGCATCTTAGCTTAGTGACTGAAGACTTAATCTCCAGTACCAACGTGGGTTGTGTTGGTGCCACAGCAATGACAGGAGTCAGGAGATGATGCCTATGTCTTCTTTCAGCCAGGACATTCTAGGCAGCTCTGTCCCCTTGTCTTTCCCTGGCTCTTGCAGAGAACAATGAGGTGACTTCTGCCTTATCCTGTGTCTTACAGAGAGGACCTTAGTGGGCAAGGATCTCCTGGGGCGCTTTGCAGATCTGATCCGAAGCGGCAAGTTCCAGCTGCATCTGGATTCCAAGACTTTCCTAGCAGACACCTCCATCCGCTTCCTCCAAGGGGACCGCTTTGGCACCTCTCCCAGGACATGGCGTGGGTGCTTGGAAGGATTCCACCGAGTCCTGGCCACCAGCAAGGCCAGTCAGGACCCACTGGGGTGTGGTAGGTTCACCCCCTCTTCCCTGGACTGCTCTTATGGAGCCATGTGAGGCTTATGGAAAGCCCACTGGAGCTCTGGACAGAGTTGAGAATCATTCGTTTAATTAGTCCACCCGAGGTTTTCAATCATCCAGTATGCATGGGCATATAATATCATCCACTAGAAGGCACACAGAAGGAAGGACCTGATGTTTTAAGTTACTGTTTCTGTTAGTTCTTGATGAACTTGAACCCTGGAGCCTGGGCTGCACTGTATTTGTGAAGAAGGCTTTTGTCCACCCTATATCCGGGGTGGACATTTCTCAGTCTGGTTATGGAAATATGCACAGTCTCCAAATGGCCATTTATCAGCCCAAGACTTTACAACTCAGGGAAAGTGATCCTGGTGGAGGCTATTGGGCTGCCCTTGCCTTTGTCCGTGAGTCGCTTTGGAGGCCACTTCCACTGGAATGCAGCTGCACAGTCCTTTTCATGGAAACTATTAATTTCCTGTTGCTACCATAACAAATTACTACAAATTTTGTGGCTTTAAAACAGAACAGATTTATTACCTTACAGTTACGTAGGTTTAAATTCCAATACGGGTGCTACTGGGCTAAAACTGAGGTGAGGTGTCGGCAGGGCTGCCTTCCTCCTGGAGGCCCTCGGGGGAAATCTGTCTCCTTGCCTTTTCCAGTTCCTAGAGGTTGCCCACATTTCTTGGCTGGTGGCTTCCCTCCTTCATTGCCAAAGCCAGCAGTGTTGCAGCTCTCTGACCCTCTTCCCTGGTCACATCTCCTCTGACTCACTTTCACCTCTGAGGACCTTGTAATTACACACAGCTGCAAAATCAAGGCTACTGCTCCTACTTTAAGTCCGGCTGATTACGGGCCTTAATTCCATCTGCAACCTTAATTTCCCTTTGCCATGTAACCTGACATATTCATAGGTTCTAAGAATCAGGACCTGGGCATCTTTGGGGGACCATCATAATGTCCAATGCTGACGATTCAAGGGTCTTATGATGAGGAGTCTCCCTCCCAGGTGGAGTGAGACAGGAAGTCATTTTTATTGAACTGAAGAGAGACAAGATGTTTCTTAGGTTTTTTTCCTATTATTTATATTGGTTGCAACACCAAAGCTACACAGCCTTTCCTTTTCTGAAGTCTGTGCCAAATTCTAAACTCCACACTGGATTTAAGACGCAGCTAAATCCTAATACAGAAAACAGAAATACAACCACTTTCCACTAATATTTGCAGAGGATTTTGCAGTTTACAAGGCACCTTTACAAATATTTGACTCTCACAGCAGCCCCTGGCAGCCGGTCATCTCCTCATTTAACAGATGGAGAAGCCGAGGCCCCGATGAAATGCGACTGTGCCCCTGGAGTGCCCAGAGCAGGGCTGACTCAGGGGAGGGACTCAGCTCACCGGACTGTCAGTGGGCCACCGTCTGGGACCAGGACCCATGATCTTTCTCTCCCCCTCACCAGAGCAGCCCCAGCCAAGAGGACAAGACATGAGAGCAAGAGTAGATGGTGCCACCTGCCAGAGTGGGTGAAACAGGGTGGCAGAGAGAGAGAGTCACACAGAGAACACCTGCCACCTCGTTCTCGGACTTTACCATGAACAGACTCTATACTAGTGAGGGTGTGTCTGTGTATGTATGTGTGTGTGTGTGTATACATGGGTATGTGGTGTGTGTGTGTGTGTGTGTGTGTGTGTGTGTGTGTTGCAGGTCGGGGCTGCAGGAGCCTGCTTTTATAGCCACCCCAGGTGGTGTAACAGGGAGTGTGGAAACTGCACCAGGAGGCTCCCTGGCCTGGGGGCACCCTCTGGAGCAGGGAGCTGAGAGGGGAAGGCAGGAGGTAGAGGTGGAGGGCAGGGCCGAGCGCCTGTGCTGACTCTGACCCTGTAAGGAAGTCCTGTCCCCTCTCGGGGGTCCTCCTTCTCCCCCACCCCACAGAGGTAAAATAAAGGGGCTGGTCTGGCACTCTGTTCCCACAGTGCCTTCTAGGGAACTCGGTTACCAGTTCCTGTCATCCGGGAGATGGGAGGGGAAACTTAGCTGGCTTTCTCTGAAGGGGGACCCTGCGTGTGTTAAGGACTGGGGCCTGGGATCGGGGGGCGGGGGTTTTTGGGGGTTTTTTTGGGGGCCCCGGGTTGGGGGGGGTGTCCTGGGGAAGGGACTGAAGGGGAGACCTCTCACAGGACACACTTGCTCTGGAGCAGGAGTCGGCAGACTTCTTCTGTAAAGGGCCAGATGGAGACATTTTAGGCTTTTTGGGCCATACAGTCTTGGGCTCAATGACTCAACTCAGCCATTGTGGGAGAAACATGAACCTGTGTTCCAATAAAACTTTATTTACCGAAACAGAAGGTGAGCTGAATTTGCTTCACACTTGCAGTTGGCCAATCCTGGCTCTAGATAAACCTACACTCTGTTTTTCAACTGATTTAGGCTTTTACTGACTCACAAACACCTGTCAATCACACCACTCAGCCCTGTCCCCTTACCCCTGATGGTTAGAAAGGTCCAGAATGAAAGTTACAAAACCGTACTGAGAGCCTTGGCTTTTCTCAGTATTAATTACATTAATAATACCTGTCCTTTATTGAGTTTCTGATATGTGCAGGCCTCACTAACATTTCTCTGTCTAGACAGACAGATATTGTTACTTCCACGTCATGCACGAGGAAACCAAGGGCATACAGTGCTATATAGTGTTAGGGAACTGCTCTTTGAAGCCAGGCAGACCGGGCTTGAGTGTTGGCTCCCCCACTTTCTCACTGTGGGATCCTGGGAAAGTCCCTGATTCCCAGGGGGCATAATCTGAACAGTAGGGATAGTAACACCTATTTCATCGGGTTGTGGTTTGGATAGCATGAAATAACTGATGCAAGGCACAGCACTTGGCACATAGCGAACTCTTGACGAATGGTTTTCCTGTTAAAATTAGCAGTACTGAGATCTAAACTGAGCTCTCTCTGTCCCCAGATCCTTTGTTCTGTCTTTGTATCACCTCTTCCTTCTCAACACATCTCCCTTATCAACACGGGGGTTCTTAGTGAAATCATACCCTCCGATTCTTGTACCTATTCTTATTAGCTCTTTCCCTTCCAAAGCACATCTGGGGCACAGCTGTGATGTTACAAGGCAGAGCATTGTCCTATGGTGATGAGCCAGGGTTTCTCTGTGTCATCTCATGCTGGCTAGGCTGGATGGCTCCATAGGAGGGCAGTGACTCAAGGGGCCGGCTGGAAGATCCATCCCCCATGACTCATGTGGGCACAGCAGCCTGGACCCCGGGAACTGGATGCTGCCTGGGAGAGGAGGCCTTGCTTGCAGCTCTGATGGGGTCAGTTTTGTTCACCCTCTTGCCTCAAGGCCAACCACGTGGCTTCCCCTTGGAATCCCCTGCTGGCCGCCTTCATGGCAGATGAGTTTATTAAGGAGGATCCCAGAGAAATTGTCTCGATTTTCTGTTTTCTATTCAGGATGATAACTTTTACTCATTCACTATAAATTCTTATAATAGAGCTAGTTCCTTTTAGATTTTTTTTCTGAAGTCATATGTTATATCTTGTTTTCTTGTTTCCTTATTCCCCCCCTTCCTTTTTTTCTTTTTTTTTGTTCCTTTTTTCCATCTTTCTTTCCTTCCACCCATCCATCCATCCATCCATCCAAGCTTTCAAAATATAATTACATATGAAACACCCTGTTCATGCTCATGAAAGCTCTGCTTTGAAGGAACTAACTCACTGTCTAGCTGGGAAGCGGTGGGTGACTAGACAGCTGGAATATCGTGTGAGGAAGCCTGCTGCACACCAAGCAAGGCAGTCGGGGCAAGCTTGCTAGGGTAGCAAATGCTGGCTGAATTCTTGAAGGGGGAGCAGGAATTACTGCTCAGACTGGACCAGACAGGAGGTGGTGTGTGTGTGTGTGTGTGTGCATCTGTGCTGGGGTGCTAACATGTTGAAGAACATTCCAGAAATGGAGAAGGGCACAGAAGCAGTGTGGCTTTATGGGGACAGTGCTCATGATTTCTGCAACTGAGGAATGAGGAGTGTGGGGAGTGTGGCAGGAGGTGGGACCAGAGATACAAGCAGGGACCGGCTGGGAGAGGCTTCCAGCACAGTGAGGGGCTTGGACTGGAGATGGGGCCCCGTGGGAGAATTTTAAGATGGAGAGTGACAGGGCCAGGTGTGGGCTTGAGCTGCTTTCTAAGGGGCAGAGGGCAGCAGTCACTGCTGGGGGTTTGTGGGGGGTGGTTGGTAGGAGGGGTAGCATGACCCCAAAGCTTTGTGATGCTCTCAAACTCAAATAGGCCAAACTGTCTCATTTTACAAAGGAGGGAACTGAGGCCAAAGGGGTTTTCCAAGGATTTCGAGGGAGGGATTTAGTTGAGGCTAAGCACCCAGTTGTGGCAGTGGACCCAGTGGCCTTTGAGAGGACCCCCTGCTGAGGAAGGATGACCATAACCCAGCCGCTGTCTCATTCTGACTTACGAAAGGGTTATTTTGGGTGGAAAGGACTCTTGACGTCAGAGACAGAGAAGAGTGGGGAGAGGAAAGAGCATGCACACTCCTTGAGCACAGACCAGAGCCAGGAAGGGACTGGGATGGCGGGAGGAGTTAGTTCCCAGCCTTTTTTCTGCTCCTTTGTCTGCTCCTCACACTTTGGAGGCAGGGACACTCAGCCGGGCCCAGAAGCTTTCGCTTTCCTTTAGCGATGAGTTTGGAGGACACGTATTTGAAAAATATAGTCACAGTTCTGGGGGTTAAGTGCTGGAGATAATTATCAACAACTTGACTCATAGCAGTAATGAAACTCCACTCTCTGAGGGAGGATATTAATTGCTGGGGGTAGACCGAAAAACACACTGTTCAGTTTCCAAGATGTGGCTCCAGTTTCTCATTTACTCAGAAATGCCAAACACCCATGCAGGCCAGAGATAGTAGTTGCTAAATCAACACTGGTTCCATCTTAGCCCAACCCACACGTTTGTGCTGACCTCTCTGCCTCTCCAGGGAGGTACTTGGATTGGTGGATAGAGCAAAGCCTATGGTTTGGAGATGAATGAATGGGGTTTAAACCCCATCTCTGTCACCTCTCTACCCGGTCAATCTTGACCTTGAACCTCAGTTTTCTCCAGTCTAGAATGGCCATGATACCTTCCTCATATGGTTGTGAATAAAACACAGTAAAACATCTGGCACTGTGCTTGGCCTAGTCTATAACTTTACTTCCCTGCTGCCCTTGCTGAAAAGCATGCTAGGAAGTCATGCATGAACACCCTGAGGCTCAGCGTTCCCATCTGTGAAATGGGGATAAGATACTGACTCTTGGGAGTGATGTGTTAATGTACATAAAGAACACAGTAGAGTGACCGGCACAGAATAAGTGTTCCCAAGAGTAGGCAAGATTTTAGTTCCCACATTTTACTGAGTAAAAACTCACTTCTTCTTGTAGTTATTTGGCAAACGCACGGGAACACAACACTGAAGAAAAAAAGCTAAGAGAACCTCCTTCCCCTACCCCCTTCTCTGGGCTGTCATGATAAGTGGTCCAGTTCATGCACTTTCCTCAGAGCAGAGCCCCTTGCACCCTAATTTAGAACTCTTACAAGAACTCTTTTTAGATATTTAATTCCAGTTGGTCTTCTGATTTCCCAGCCCATATCAGAGTAGGAAAATTAGGAGGAATTGGGAGGTAGAATCAGAGGGACAGAGAGCCGTGAGAATGGACAGATTCATAGGGTAACACCAGGAAGGACAAGGCTAGGGAGGCATCTGGGGTGTAAAATTTAAGGAGGCGCTCACTCCTGGGGTCATATTTGGCATTTCTGAGTCAATCAAAAGCCCAACAGCCCTGGTAGTGAGAGACTCCCCTGCCTCCCCCAACTTCTGGGTCTGAGCAACACAGTTAATGACCGACCAACAGGCAGAGGGGCCACAGGAGGTAAGTGAGATGGTGCTGAGTTGTTGGGACTGCCCCATAGAAGGGGCATCCTATTTGGACAGAGTGGCTACTGAAGTTGGCTATAAAGAAGGACTTCCTCCAAGAGTAAAAATATCATTTGTTGAGCATATATGTGAGTCTGGCATTATGATATGTACTTTACGTAGGTTGTCACTACACTGCAATGAGATATTATTATTAATCCCCATTTTATAGAGGAGAAGGTAGAGCCTCAGAAAAGTCCAAAATTATACAAGTATAGTGGTCAGTGGGACATTATTCAATCTGTTAGATTCTAAAGTTTGCACCTCCCCACCCCCCTCTCTCCGCCATGCCCTTAACTTTGGGAAGTGTTCCCATGGCAACCTCGGGATAGGCTCTCATCTTTCAAAGTGTTCTCCTACTTCATGTCATGCCATTCTTCCTTTCGCAGACTAAGCTCTAGCTCAGCACCTGGCTTTGTGTGGCTTTTTCCTTTCCATTCCTTGAGTAATCCAAACTCATTCCTGCCTCTGGGTTTTTTTTTTTTTTGTAGAGTATTTTTATTAGATATAATTTTATTTTTGTTAATATAAGTCCTCAACTCCATCAAATGCTAATGCAGTACAATTTGTAAGACCATATATATTATCAGAGACATACAAACCATTTTCCATGGTAATATTTTCAAAAGCCAAACTGAAGCCACAATGGGAGATTTTCATTCTGCTTGGCAGTACTGTAAACTGATATGTTCTTGCCTCTGGGTTTTTGCACTTGCTGTTACCTCTGTCTGGAATTCTCTTTTCCTAGAACTTTGCCTGGACTGATCCTCATCATTCAAGTCTTAAGCATGATCTCTCGGAGGGGCCTTCCCTCACAAGCTTCATTTTACCCATAGCTGAAGTTCTTCTCTGACTCGCTCACCTCCTATGGGCATGTCAGCTCCTGGAGAGCAGGACGCTCGCCTGCTTTCCTCACAGCTGTCCCCCTGGTGCTCAGAGCCCGCACACAGTAGGTTCTCAATGGACACCTGTTAAATGAATGAGCTCTTCAACCAATTTTAGGATTCCATGTACCTTGTGTACTCTGGGATTATAACTGTAAAGTGTGTGTCTTGTTCTTTAACATCATCTTTCTGCTTATGTTTTCTAGCTAAGTGTCCTGAAGGAAGCTATTCTCAAGATGAGCAATGCATTCCCTGTCCTGTGGGATTCTACCAAGAACAGGCAGGGAGCTTGGCCTGTGTCCCGTGTCCCATGGGCAGAACGACCATTTCTGCCGGAGCTTTCAGCCGGACTCACTGTAAGTTCTGCAGGGTCCTGCTTGGAAAGAAAAGCTCTGCAGTATAACGGGATGCAACAGGGTTTCTCAATCTCGGCACTGTTGACATTTTGGAACAGAAAATTCTTTGCTGTGGGGGGCTTTCCTGTGCCTAGTAGGGTGTTTAGTAGCATCACTAACTCTTAGATGCTGGTGGCACCCCCATCCCCAAATTGTGACAACAAAAACGTGTCTCCATTGTCAAGTGTCTCTTGGGTGGAAATTGGTGGCGGGGGTGAGGGGTGGATTGCCCACCACTGAGAGCTACTGGGTACACAGCACTGTAATCAAAGGGGCCACCATCTGTGAATACCCGTCCCCTGTCAGGCTCTGGGTCAGGCATTTCACTGCATTGTCTCATTCAATCCTCCCAACACCCCTTTGAGGTAAGTAATATTAACCAAACTTTTACAGATAAGAAGGTTACGGCTCAAAGAAAAGAAACTTAGCCAAAGTCACTCAGCTAACTAATGACCTCACTGGCCTTTGATCTTGGTTTTGTCTGATTCTGAAACTTCTGATTTTTGTAAGTCAACTTTATCAGGATGAGAAGTGGAAGATGTTTTCCACCGATAGTTATTACCCTGCGTAACTCATATTCCCTTTCTGGCCCTAGACATTTGTCAGGATGTCAGGACTGCTTGGCTTTCCCGTATGTCACGTGATTTCACGTGGCCTACTTACTTAATAGTCACCTGGGTATTGGGGTTTTCCTAGCAAGGATGCATAACTTGTACATCTTTTCATGTTGGTCTGAAATTGTGCCAACGTGAGACAAACAGTTATTGCTTAAAATCTGAGTAATTTCTAGAATTTTTAAAACAAGTGCTCAAAAGACATCAAGTCACTTTCTTTGATGAGGACAATTTCCTTGGTCAGGAGAGCAGGGTAATAGGACAGTAATTCCAAGACAGTAAAAGTAAGAGGAATTTCATAGGCTGGGAGTTCTGACACTGCTTCTGGAGAAGAAATCATGCATCACGTGCGCCTCTCACCTGGGCGTCACCCTCTGTTTGTACACTGACTCCAGTCCGTGTGCTTTGAGATGACTTGAAGTGCTGTAGAAATGCCAGAGGAGCACTTTCTTGAAAGAGGGTTGATGTGATGTACTGATCCTTGTTTGTGGAGGAGCTATGACAAAGAAGACAGGGAAGAGAGGACAGAGGCTGAGGCTTGCACTGGTCAGACCAGGTTCCATCCCTGCTGTCCCCTTTTATTGGCACTGTGACCCAGGCCAAATCACCTTCCTTCTCTGAATGTCAACTCCCTTGTTCAGTCCACAGCAAAGTGGAAACACAATGTTTAACATAAACTATGAACATTCATCCCTTACCCCACTTTTGGAGTGAGTTTTGATTGCATTCCCATGCAGTAGTAGAGGGTTGTGTTACAGCATCGCCCCTCTCCCAGACACCTTTCTTGAGTAATAGAATAGATTTTGGATAATGGTTATCCAGGGTCAAGGTTGGAGTCTATGCTAAGGGTCTGTTCATATCTAGGAAACTTCTCCATGACTCATTAACTATGTTGTTCTATCTGTTGAATTATCTGGTCTGTGTTCTTAGGTGGAATCATATCGAAGAAAAGGACAGCCAGGAGAATCTGCCAAGTTTTAAATAATACCAAGAGATTACAATATTTCCTTGATTTCCTTTTGTTGTTAGGATAGCTTTGAGAATCCCAGTTTCTCTATATAGTTAGTTGAGATCTGTATTATAGTTCTTACTTATACTCTTCTATATTTCCTAACTTAGCTGGTCCACTGGGCCACATTTGAGGTTCTGTTGATAACTGAGTAGCCCTTCTGAGTGTTTATTTGTTTGTTTGTTTATTGATGTATTAATTCATGTATAGCATGTATGTATGCTTTTGTAACCTCCCCACAAAAATTGTTATTAATCAATGGTTAATCGTATAATCAATAGTCTTGAAATATAAAACCCCAGGTGTTATCAAGTCTTTGGACTGCTACAAAATCTTACCATTCACCTATTTCCCAGTCCCGAGGAACCAGATTGAGGAATCCTCCTTTGATATAAGTCATCAAAAACTTATTGAGCACCTGCTTTGTGCCAATTTTATATTGAGTATATTAAACAAGTAATGACAGAATCCCTGTCCTCAAGGAGTTCAGAGTCTGATAGGAAAAGGAAGTGAGGGGGGATTAACTAGAGGGCAGGTGGAGAGAGAACTTCTGGGAAGAAGAAACAGCTTGAACACAGGGATAGAGGCATTCATCCACAGAGTTGACTAATACTTATTGATTTTGGAGAGGAAGCTTGTTGTATGTGTTAAGACACTGAGCAAGGCACTGGCATAACTCGTGAGCAAAACCAGCCCTTGCCCTGCCTTTCCAGAGCCTCTGCTGAGCAGGAGGCAGGAGTCATCAGCCGTCCATCCACACAGATAAATGGAAATAATACCTGTGCTCCTGGCTGTGATGGAGAGGCCTGGGTCCCAAGGAGAGGGTGTGACACTCAGGCCTGACTTAGGCAGGAGGTCTGGAAGTGTCTTAGTCCATTTGGGCTGCTATAACCAAATACCATAAACTGGGTGTCTTATAAACAATGGAAATTTATTTCTTACAGTTTTGGGAGGGTGGGAAGTCCAAGATCAAGGTGCCAGCAGATTTAGTGTCTGATGAAGTTGTCATAGACTGTACTTTCTTCCTCTGTCCCCACACGGTGGAAGGGGCAAACAAACTCCCTTGGATCTGTTTTATAGGGACACTAATCTCATTCATGATGCCTCCACCCTTATGGCCTAATCACCTCCCAAAGGCCCCACCTTCTAATACTATCTGAGGATTAGGTTTCAACATGTGGGTTTTGGGGGAACGTAAGCATTCAGATCATAGCAGGAGGGCTTCCCTGAGGAAACGTGGGTGGAGGTGAGAGTGGGTGGGCAGTGAAGAGTTCATGCAGTGCAGACTGGGGCAGCTGTGCACCAGGAGAGGGGCCAGATGAGCAAAGGCCGGGTTGAAGGAAATGGTGTCAAAGAGGGCATGGAACAAAGCGGGTGGTGTGTGGAGCAAAGTGTGTGTGTGCAGGTACTGGGAATGGTGGGAGCCAGATCACAGGGGACTTGTTGATCCAAACAGGGAGCCTGCATGTGGTCCCTTAGTCAGGGTCGGGACACTGAAGGGTTTTATGCTAGAATGTCTGGGTGAGACGTGTTGCTTGGACATCCGGTCAATGACCCAGAGCCTGGGAGTAGGAGGGGGAGGGGATCCTAGAGGCCCATTGTTGACCTCTGTGTCCATCTCTTGGTTCCAGGTGTCACTGACTGTCAGAGGAATGAAGTGGGCCTGCAGTGTGACCAGGATGGCCAGTACCGAGCCAGCCAGAGGGACGGGGGCAGTGGGAAGGCCTTCTGCATGGACAGCGAGGGGCGGAGACTGCCGTGGTCAGAAACGGAGGCCCCACTTGAGGACTCTCAGTGTCTGAGTATGTGCTGGAGGTTAAATCAGCCGCAGTTACTGGGGAGAGGGGAGTGGTCTCGGACTTTATGGAAAGGGAGAGACGCATGAGATGAATTTGTCTCCAGCTTTTTATTTAAAAATTTTTTATCTATGTAAAGAATAATAGGATGGATAAATACCCATCACCTAGATCCAATAATTGTTAATATTTTATTCTCTCTCTTTTTAAAAATAATTTGGAAATATAAGTTTCAGACATCATGAACCCTCACCCCTAAACACTTCAGGATGCACAGAGGTTAAAATTTATAAATAAGAAATCTGCTGAGGCTTCCATTCTTGCAGGCAGCTTGCCTCAGTAAGTCTGGTCAGCATTTCCCCTCAGGAGGACGCTGTAGAAAGACTGTGTGCCAGTCCTTCTTCCACAACTTATGCACTGGGTGACCCAGAGCAAGTTGCTCAACTTCTCTGATCCTCAAACCCCCAGTGGCTTCATGTCTGTCTCCTGAGACATTGTGAGAGTCAACATCAACCTGTAATGTCAAAAATATTCATTGAGCGCTATCCTGTGTACAGTTCCTCAGTGACATACTGGGTGGGAAAGTCTCACATGAACCATCAAATGTCCTACATGCAAGGTATGGTGGGCACCCACAGAGAGGAAGGGAAGAGATGGTCTGTTGAATGAGAAATAGTTTAATCCCACTGGTGCCCTTTACTGGATGTATGTTCTTGGGCAATTCCCTCACCCTCAACAGTTTTCTCATCTGCGAAATGGAGATATTAGTGCCTACCCTGGAGGAGGGTTGAGTGCATTAGCAGCGTCATACCTACCAGGGGTAATAAATATTTCAGAATAAGAAGTCTCGGGAACAGTAGTTGCCCTGTTCCCTTATCTGTTAAACAAGGAGGGATGCTGAAACAATCTGCAAGGTCCCTTAATCCTAACGTCCTCTCAGTATTCAGAACTCCACTCCACCTTTCCACAGAGTCACCAGCCTCTGCCTGAGGTCCGGGGGCTTACCTTCCCAACTTGGCAATCCAGAGCCACCCTGCCCACCAGAGTCTCTTAGCATCTCAGTGTGAGGACAGGGTCTGGCATGTGTGGATGCACTATGTGCCTGGCATTTTGTATGTTTATCACATTTAAACTCCATGGGAGTCCAAAAAGGTAGATATTATTATTGCCAATATTTTAGCTGAGGAAACTGAGGCAAAGAATGTTTAAATTCTTATCTTCATCCCATAGTTAGGATATAATATACCTAGATTTTGAACTGGTGTGTATCTGACTCCTAGATCCTTGTGTTTTCTGCTCACCAATCTGTGCTGCTACCTAGATTTATCTGCTTCCTCAACAAGCACATGTGTGCACGCACACATACATACGTAGCCTGTCTGTTCCCTAGGGAGGTTGATACAGCGAATGGCAAAATATCAGAGAAAATCCAAGTGAGAAGTTTTCATTTTCTAATGCTCAGAGCTGTCTCTAGTGAAGAGCTAACAAATGCCAAGGACTTTGTGTGTATGTGTGTGTATGTGTATGTGTGTGTGTGTGTGTGTGTGTGTATGTGTATGTGCGTGTTCTTACAGATAAATTGCAAATCCAGTGAAGTCTTATTTTTTCCCAATATCCCTCCTCTTGGGCAAAAAAGACAATCAGGGGAGTTAGAGATGGAAGATGCTTTAAGAGATCAGTTATGAATTTACCTGTCTCTTCCTCCTCCCCCCAACCTGCTTGGCTTCCGTTGAGTTTTACTATGTGCACATGGGTGTTGATGGATCAGTTCCAATTTAATAGTGAATACATGTGGTATTTGTTTTTCCATTCTTGTGATACTTCACTTAGAAGAATGGTCTCCAGTTCCATCCGGGTTGTTACAAAAGGTATAAGTTCGTCATTTTTTTTAATGTCTGAGTAGTACATGTAACCAAAACGTTTGTACCCCTGTAATACTCTGAATAAAAAAAAAAAGAGATCAATGACATAGATCTTTCACAAGTGAAAGAGAGGGTGTCCACAGAAGGGAAGCAACTTTCCCAGTAGCCCTGGTGATCACTGTCCATTCTGGGATTATTGCCCAAGTGCTGCTAGCTTTCTTTGTGTCCCTGTCAATGGCTTAACCTTGAGGATTGTCATGTGCAGTTTGTGGGGCATTTCATGGCTTGTTCTGTCCAGTGTTCAGAGCAGAAAGGACAGTTTAATCAGTGGCACCAGAAGTGTTCACGAGCTGCAGCTCAGCTTTGACACCTTTGATGCTGCCTCCCTGAGGTGCTGGCTTATGAACAGCCTCCAGATACATCCTCAGCTTCTTATGTAAAGCTCTGAGCTTAAGTTTCCCTTTCTGGATCTGCAGGGGGATATCCATGTTAATAAGCCAGGCCCTCACTGGATGTCTTTGCAGAATTGCCTTTGAGAGGAACTTTGTCTCTGGAAGTAGAATCGCAGTTTCAGTTTTGAGGCTTTTGTCCTTCAGAAAAAGCAAAGGACTTAGTGGTTAGCTATCTACCTCCCCATTGCCGTCTCCTTTGTCCAAGCCACTGTTGTTACCCACATGGCACTGCCATGCCCTCCTGACTCATCTTCCTGCTCCAGTCCAACAATTTTTCCATGATGCTTCTAGTGCAATTATTTAAAAAGGCAATTCCGCTTATGCAATGCCCCTTGAAATTCTTCAGTGGTTTCGCATTGCTCTTGGGATAAAGTAACCTTGCAATAATATCCCAGCCTCCTCTCTGGACTCTAGCCTCATTAGACCATATGTTCCTTTGGAGCTATAACTGTCTCTTATTTCTTGTTCTATTCCAGGGCAGTAGGTACCTGTTGACGAATGAGTGAATTGCTCCAGTTATCTGGGCTTCTTTGAAACTATTTCCTAAAGGTGTTCAGGGAAGGAGATTCTCCCACCACCTGAATTCCTGTGGCCAATTTTACAAGCCCTGACACTTAGGCAGGATGTTTTGCAGAGGGAAAAAGGACTTGGCATTAACTGAGTCGTTACCATGTACCAGGTGTTCCATGCTATATTATTTAATCCTTATAACCAGAAAATGGAGACTCTCGGAGGTTGAGATGTGCCCAAGGACACAGAGCTGAGGAGGTGTGGCAGTGTCAGGACTTGAGCTGGGGGCTGACTCCAGAGTTGGCGCCCTTCCCCGACTGCATGCTGCCTCCCTGTCTGAAATTCCTCCTACAGAAGCTCCGTGGTGCTCCCTGTGATCTTCTCTATATTGCCTTTGTGTACTCACAGAATTAGTCTGACCTCAGCCACTGGACATATTTCAAGTTCATCTTTCCTTTAACTTTAGGTCAAGTTTTCTAATTCTGTTCTTTGCTGACCCATGCTGAAAATTTCATATACTGCACTAAGTGTCTAAACAGTTACACGACTACCACTGGCATTACGCCATCATAATGTTCTCTACTGGTTGCCAGGTGTTATAACGATGTTGTTAGTTATCTATTAGTCCGTCCATCCATCCATCCATCCATCCATTCAATATATAGGAAACTAGTATCTCTGTCACTATCCTAGCTAGTGAGGGTTCAGATATAATCAGGACATTGTCTTTGCCCTGGAAGGAGACAGACACATAAATATCCATGATATACTATGCAAGGATCATGGTCAAATACATAGTGTGCTCTAGTGTTAACCTTTTATGCTTTCCCCAAGACATTTTAAAATATCTGCTAAGTAGAAATTTGATACATGGGAAATTGTATCAACAGAATGTATAATTCTACAAACTGACTCAGTCTTTCATTGGCAAATTGGTTCATGGATTGTTTCTGTTCTGTTCGCCCATGAGCTTCTTCACAGAATGCTGCAGTGTGAAGATCTCCATCACCAAAATGTCCCTTTCCTGAAAACCTGCAGATTCTCTAACTGAAGTGCTGAATTTACTGCATTTTTGGGTAGAATTTAATCAGAAGCTGAAAGATCTTTCAAATTTTATTTAGTCTCATACAGCGTTTTGAGCATCTGGTCTATACCAACCAAGACTTAGGGATGCTATGATGAGTACAGCATGATGTTTGGTATAAACAAGAGATCGGGGAATATAAGAATTAGAAAAAAGAGAGAAGATGAAAGAAGAAGGGTTGAATGTGGACTGAGCACACGAACTTGGCAACTTCAATGGGCAATGTGGAAGGATTACTTTGTGAAGTTAGGATTCTTTTCTATTAAATATATCAAACATTTTGAAGGCTTAAAGCATGTCATTTTTATTACATCAATGTTCCATTCTCCCAATCCCATCACTTTTTTCTGTGCTTATTATGAAAGCTGAGGAAAGATTGCTTTGAGTGATTTTGAATTTATTGACTTGATGAAAAACCAATCTAGACAGAAGTCTGTTTTATAAAGCAATGGGTGTGTATGATAATGAGTGCTTATGTATATGTTTATAATTATGTTAGCAAAGAATCGATACTCATGTGCTTTTGGACTTGTAAATAAGTCTTGCTTTTTGATAGTTACCTATGAAATATTGACGCTCTTGGGCATTTGTGGCTTAGAAGATAAATCTTATTCCTTGGGAGTTACCCTCCTTGCTTGTGTTTTTGCTTGGTGAAGAATTAGTTCCAAGTCTCATAGCCTTGAGAAATTATATTTCTTCCTCCTCACTTCTCTATTTCCATGAGCATGTGGCTATGTTTTTCCTATCAGATGGAGCTCAAATATGTTGATTGTAGGTGGAAAAACAGATGCTAGTGCATCACTTAAACAAATACTACCTTAAAAATGCCTGAGCCACATGACACATTTTTAAATTTACATGAATCCATATGCACATGTTTTATTTGCATTTTAAAAAAACTTACCTCATTTCTGAAAGATTTCAAGTTGTTTTATGGAAAGAAAATTTTCAATAAAATAATTAGATAATTAGCACTAAACTATAAGTTTAGATAGAAAATCAATACCAATGAGAAGAGGTGAATTGTAAAGACAAACATAATATTAAATTTTCCCCTTACTTCCTGACAATGAGGTAGAGGATGGGAGACCTGGTAAGTTACAGCTCTCGAAATGAGACGTGAGGCTGGAGCTACCTTCAAAAGGAATTATTCTCCCTGGGACGTTTGTGTGACTGAGGGCTGCAAATGGGAAGTGACTTCTTGACCTAACACTCTTTTTTATTTCTCTGCAGATGCCCTATACCCCTCAGAGTCAGATTTCAACAATATGCTTTATTTTCAGTGATGCAAAAATTTGAGAAGGCTTCAGAATCAAAGGTGATCTTTGACGCCAACGTTCCCATGGCGGTCAGGTCCAAAGTTCCTGGCTCTGAATTCCCCCTGATGCAGTGCTTGGCAGGTAAGGAGTAGTGGGAAGATGGGCACATGGAGAATGGTGGAGAAATAAGCTCTGCTGACATTGTCAATACAAAACAAATCAAACCATTAAAACAATAATGAGAAAACATACTTTGTCAAAAACACTGTAAGCCAACTGATTTCCAAAATGTATATTCAATTTATAAGTTTATTGCAGAGTTTATAGTGTGTCTGCTACGTGCCAAGAACTATGCTAAATGTTACAGACAAAAATGAACAAAATTAGTTTGGCCTAGAGCTATTTGTCCAGGTCAGGATATATATCTTCTTATTTCAACAGTGAGGCCAGAGAGGTGGTAATAAATTACTATTTACTGAGTATGTATTTTTACAAGGATTATTTCATAATCCCACAACCACCCATAGAGTAACCATTGTTATCCTAAATTACAGATGAGAAAAATAAGGCTTTAAGAATTTAAGTGACTTGCTCAATGACACAGAGCTAGCAAGCATCAGAACTTAAATTCAAACCCGGACTACTGATGGCAAAGCCTACAGTCATAACCATTGCTTTATGCCTCATGTGGTGTAGTTATTAAGTGATTAACAGTGTGATTATGAATCTGTTTTGGATATCTGCTCTGGTTATGATAAACTTACACGATTGTTTGCATCACAAACACAGTTTAAGGCATGAAGTGGGAGCTGGAAAAAAAAATGTTTGCAGAATGAAAGATATTCACTGGAACTGGAGGGATAGAAGCATGGGGTCAAGAGAGTAGATGTGAGGAACCAGCATCAAGACAGCACACTTGGTGTATAGCGATTGCAGTTGTTTGCCTTGACAAGGAACATCATACACATACCCACGTGTGCACCCATACACTATGACACAGCTGAAGTTAGAAGGGCAAGCTGATGGGATGGAAAGAAAAAGATGATGCAGTATCATAGGGGCTGAGGCAAGTAGGGAAGACAGGTCCATCTGTTAGTGTCAGGAGATGGTTTAACCCTACAGTCCCCAAGCCCCGGGCCACATGCCAGTAGCTGTCCATGGACTAATAGGGATCGGGCTGCACAGCAGGAGGTGAACAGCAGGTGAGCAAACAAGGCTTCATCTGTATTTACAGCTGCTCCCCATTGCTCACTCCCCACCCCAGTCCATGGAAAAATTGTCTTCCATGAAACCAGTCCCTGGTGCCACAGAGGTTGGGGGCCGCTGTTGTAACCAACAGGGCCAAACTCAGTATCAAAAATATGCAACAGTTTGAGAAAGACAGCCATGTCAGGAAGGTCTAGCAATATGGTGTCCTATCAGACAATTGAGAGGAGGGCACTCCATGGCAGGTAGTATTTGAGACTTTGGGTAAATGAATGAACTGAACTGTGCTTCAGTTTCCTGATCTATAATGGGGATCAATGATCCAATAACACAGAAAGCACTTACCAGAGCATGTGGTACATGGTATGTGCTCAGTAAATGTCTCTTGTACGTATATTTGTGTGTGTGCTTATGTATGTGTGTGTGTACTTGAGTGTGTGTATTTGGGTATGTTCATGGGTATGTGTATTTGTGTGTGAGTGTTTGGGGGTGTATATATTTGAGTGTATATCTGTGTGTGCATCTGTGTGTTTACATTGCATGTATATTTGGGTGTGTGGGGCAGGGGTAGGGGCGTGTGTCTGTTCTGTCCCCAACATCGCCTGAGAGTCGGGTGGGTGACTGTCCCATGGTGCTTGCAGAATGTGCGGAGGACGAGGCCTGCAGCTTCCTCATCGTGTCCACAATGGGCTCAGAGGTCTCATGTGATTTCCACGCTTGGACAAATGACAATGTTGCCTGCATGACTTCTGTTCAGGTGAGGTGTAAGAGCCACCTGGCAGTTCTACCTCTTGTCCATTCTGTGTCAGACACACTCTGATGGCATTGACACTGGGGTGACCAGGTGATGGAAAGAGATTGCTGATAGCTGATCCCCTGTTGCTTCCATTTCTTCAGAGTGATGAGACTTTGGGAAATTGAAGTTGCAACAGGCAGAGACACACCCAGGATGCAGCTGACGTAGCATTCACCTGAGCAGTATCGTTTCCTGGCAGATCAGCCAGGAGACACCCTTGACACTGAACACCTCTTCCTATGCCTCAGCGCTTACCTATTCTGGCAGCTTGGGCCCCAGATGCGAGGGGGACATTGTTCAGAGCCCTAAATACCATCTGCTCCTCAGCGTCCCAGACCCCAGCTCTCCTTTTCATTATAGAAATAAAATATGATTATGGTATAAAAAGATATGTTAAATATTTATTAGAACCACATGAAATCGCTGTTTCTATAAGTCAGAGCTGGCAGAATATTGGCAATTTTATATGGTACCATCAAATTAGGATAAAAAAGTATCCAGCGAAAAGCAGAAGTCTCCTGTCTCCTAATTTCTAACCTGTAAGCATACTCAAATCTCCATTTTACTCTCTGGTTTCTTATGGATCCTTTCAGAAAATTTCTATGTATTTATAGATATGTTTTTTGTTTGTTTACATGCTACAATTTTATAATATGTATTCGTTTCTGTATTGATTTTTCTCGTATTTATTTTTCTGTATATGTATGTTAAAAATTAACCTTATTCTTTTCACTGGAGCATACCAATCCATTCTACAGATGTACGTAATTTATTTCACATTCTCTTGGTTAAGGGTATGTAGATTTGCAGCAGTTTTGCAATATCACCAAAACCAACACTGGTGCATTGCACACCCATTTGCCCACGTATTTGTATGTCAAAGAGTGTTCGTAAGTGACATTCTAGAAGGGGTGTGGATGATGGACCCTAAATTTTAGGACTCTTGAGCTGGGTTCTGTAGTGACAAGATATAGAGAAGAGGCGGGGAGGGGTCTTGGGTTCAAATCCCGGCAATACCACTTGCTTATTGCTATTTAGCCCCTTGGTTCCTCAAATTCCCCATGTAATATGGGGATAATAACGGTTCCCACATCACAAGATTGTTGGAAGGATTGAATAGGGCCCTACGTGGAAAAGCTCACAGGAGAGATTCTGCTGCAGAGCAAATGCCCAGTGACTGTTATTATAACCATTACTGTTGCTGTTAATATTATCATCATCCCCTCGTGAGGTCAGCAGGAAATCCATCTCACTCATTATCTACTCCAGAGCCCTGGGTTCTTGGTCCTAAGGCACAGGGGTGGGATGGGGGTGGAGGGCCTTGGTCACTGATCATCAGTGGTTGGTCGCACAGCCCAGTGCTGAGCTCCACAGTCCCAGGAGCTGTCTTTAGCCTCCCCTGCTTGGGGTGCAGAGAAGACTCTTTGCTGAGGCAGGAGCCCCACTGCACTGGGTTTAGCCTCCCCAGGTCCAGCCATCCATTTGATGTCTTGCTGTCCTCTGCCCCACCAGGGCACAGCCACAGAAGGGGTGAGGGCTCCTGCCACTCTGGCCCTCACCTGAGTCCTTTTCAGGTCTTTGGGAATCCCTCCTCTCTCTGTACTTTCCAGGTTCCTTCCTTCCCTCCCCATGCTATCATCTTTCTAGTGAGTTCCGGCTTTCTGCAAAGGAAGAAGAGCCATTGCCTTCAAACAGCCTTGCTTTAGCACCTGTCCTCCAAAATTCCCACAGGGAACTCAAAGTCTGGCAGCCTTGAGGAGGAGGGCAAAATACTGGGGACAAGCACAAACTGAAACAGGCAAATTTATCCTACCCCACCCAAACTGCAAAATTGCTGAAAATAAGTCAGAAAGACTGATCAGAGGTAGTTGGGAATGGCCAGATCTCTGGAAGTCTGACCTCACCATTTCCAAGCTTAGGAACCTGTCTCCAGATGCTCTCTAGGCAGAGGCTACGTGACTACAAGTTCTTCCATGAGCTGGCTCCTGCCTCTCTGGTCACTCCCCTCTTATAACTGATAGTCCCCAAACCGCGGGACCTAGTTCTGAAAACACCCATGAAATTCTGGGTCTCTGTGTCTGTTCCTACTGCTTACATGTCTGTCTGCTCCAATGGGCCAGGAGAAACTGTACAGCAAGAACCTTTTCTTTCTTACCTTTGCAGCCCTAGTGCCTAGCCATGGTTAGAGTTGGATAATGTTTGTTGAATTGAATTATTAAACAACACGGGATGATAACACAGCATCTTTTCACCTCCAGGAACAAGACACATTGGGGAACTCGAAGGTCACCAGCTTTGGAAGTCTTAGGTGCCAGGTGAAAGTAAGGAACCGCGGTCAAGCTTCTCTGGCTGTGTATTTGAAAAAGGGTAGGTTGGTCGGGCTGGTTGGCTGGGGGCTCTGAGGCTTCACGTGGTCATGTTTGGAGCAGGGTGCACTTGGGGAGGGGCCAGACTTTCCCCCGTCGCCACCCATGCCCTGAGCCCAGTTTCTGTCTCCAATATCCTCCGGTAGGCCTGGCATAGCACCCTCTGTGGACAGGCGATCATTTCCCCGACCTCTGCAAGGGGCTTTGCACATCGTTTTCATTCATTTGTGTCATGAGATTCGATCCTCATCGCAGTCTGGCAGAGATTGGGAGCCTCATTCTGCAGGCCAGGAACTAAGCGGTAGAGCAGACACGATGCTAATAGGTGGAGGGGCCCGGGCAGAACCCAGCTGCATCTGTCTGTGCCTCGAGGCAAGCCCAGGCAGCCCATGACGTGGGGCACGTCCCTCCTGGACCTTCTGACTCATGGAGACTCTCCTCCTCCCCACTGTGGTCTCCACCCTCTCTGGACGTTTTCAGATCTTTTCCTCACCCCCAATCCTGACTTTGTAAAATGCAGATCCTGAGTCAGTGAATCCTTGGGGTGGGCCAAGATTCTGCATTTCTAATACCTCCTGGAGGGGGCCCGTGCCGCTGGTCCAGGGAACACACTTTGAGTAGCAAGCATATAGTATTTTATAGTTTACAGCTTACTTCCCCATTCATTCTTCCACTGCACCCTCATAGCAACTCTTGGAGGGGGGCATCACACAGGAGAAAGCACCCTGGGCTGCTGGCAGCATGTGGGGAAGCCGGGGCCTTTCCCCAGAATCCTCAGGCCTGTGCTCGTCAGCCCTGCCCTGCTCACCTCTTCTCCTCCTCTCCAACACCGCCAAGAGGTGCCAGCACTGCAGCTCCATGAGCCCTGGGATACCGCTAGGCCCTGCCCCTGTGACTGCAGCTCCCCTCACCGTCACTGCTGTCTGGCTCTGGCTTTACAGCAATTAAGGGCTTTAAGAGCAAGGGCCCGGAGCCCACCTGCCCGGGTTGAACCCCAGCTCTGCCATGCACTAGCTGTGTGGTCTTGGGCACATTCCTTCACATTCTAGGCTTCCGTTTCCTCATTAGTAAAACAGGGATCATAAGTGGACCAAGGTTATTGGCAGCTTGGACTGAGGAGACGCAGGTGAAGCTCTTTGAGCAGTGCTCGGCACGTGCTAGGAGCTCAGCAGACGTACAACATTTCTGTACTTGTTTTCATGCTCGCTAAAAAGTTTCCTGATGGCCTGAGGCTACGGCTGTGGACCAGAAGACAGCCCAGGGGGCCTGAACTTAGACTTGGAAGTTGGAAGAAAGGGGAGTGCGGATGTCACTCTGAGGTCTACAATTCAGGGCAGGTGCCCAGGGCTCCCAGTGGCTTCAGACTGGTGCCAGGGACAGCTGGCAGCAAGTGGAGACTGGGCCATGGCCCAGGCCCAAAGCTGCGTCTGACCTCGGTAGCAATCTTCAGCCCACGGCAGGGAGAAGTGTTTGTGTTTTCTTTCTTTTTTCTCTAGTCCTTTTTTTGCCTAACGCCTCCATCCTGACTTAGCAGAGAGTTTGCTTGGGAGATTGGAGTCTGGCAGAGCTTGGATCTCTCTGATCTGTTGCCAGGGTCACTAGGATTTCTGCCCCAGTGTTTATCCCAATTGTCTTTACTATCCATTTTTAAATATAACAAAACATAGGGTTTATTTTCTAAAAACAAATGCCAAAATAGAACAATAACTCCTACTAAAAATGTTCTTTAAAATCATAACTTGGCCTTTTATGA